CAAAGGCGCAACCAACTGAGGCCTACCCAAATCAAAAACACAACAAGCCACCGAGGAAAAAGGAAAAGAATAAGAAAAAGGACCAGGGATCAGGGACAAGGACAAGGACACGTATGAGCATGAGGATAAGGATAAGGGCAGGACCAAGGACAGAAACTGGGAAAATCCAGCGTGAGAATCCCTCGACGACGCAATTGAATCAGGGGGCAGGACTACGCAACAGATTTTTCTGGTATCCACCAGAAACAGCATTATAAATACACTTAGAAAAATTAGCTACTAAAGTTTAAATAAAGTTTTATGTTGGTATTTTGCCAAAATAATATTTTAAAGCATCAAAACTATTTAATGTGATTATGACTACAATTAAATTTAATTTAATAATTGCACGATCTGAACCATATCCTTTTTCTTTTGTGTACCATCCTGCCACCGAACTACCCCATAAATGGAGATGCTGGAAGGGGGGAGGAAGGCGCAATAGAGCCACCCCATTTCCGCCCTTTCATGGGCATTGTGCGTTGGGGTTGGGGTTGCATAAATTATACAAAACAATGCTGCCACATATATGATTCAAGGAAGGATCAAATCGAAATGCGTAGTTCCTTTGATTGCTTTTCAAACTATGTTTTACGCGCTTTTAAGCGATTTTCGGTACAGTCAGTCCAATCCGAGCAGTTGGTGAAGTACCAAGGTCTTCCAGTTAACGGTGTTTGGCACTTTACACTGCAATAAAAAATCTATTTTACAACCTCAGTAAATTTAGAATGTTCTTAATAATAAGACAAAGTGGAAATATGTTATGATTTGCCTACATAAAAATAAAAGGTAACTTATTCAGTACTAAGGAGCTCTAAAAAATTGTGTATATTTATTAAAGATTTGATTAACATTAAAGGAAAATGAATATAATATTTAATTATATTTTTGCAGTGTAAAACTGTTGATTCCGGAGTAAAAAATCCACCCCAAAATTGGGAGATCTAAGAACCAGGTTTCAAGATGAGTAAGTCGCAATAAATGTACCAAATTTCAACTTTGGCAAGTTTTTTGGAAGGAGAAGCTAAATGGAATGCGCAATTTAATATTTCCTATCCGCAGACAACAGAAGGTCGAACGAAAGGATTATGCGCAGCCCAGGGAGGATGATTACAATCTATCAAAAGAAGTGCGCATTAAAGATCCAGGATCGTGTTCTTAATGGCACTTTAAAAACCTTAAGCTCACATTTTATAATAACTAAAAATATAAACCTAAAAACTTTTTTACTTAAAATTATTTACCAAATTGTATTTGTAATTTATATTTATTCTTTGCTGTATACATTTCTTCTGATTCCTTCATCAAAATCAAAGGAAATAATTGGAAATAAGAAACTGTTTGACTTACAAATTTTCCCAAATTTCTTTCTCATAACAATTCAATTTGATTCGCCTGAAGCCGTCATAAGAAACGGTAGTTATCACAAAAGCACTCGTTAGCCCAACACTTTTCACTTCATTTCGAAGGGTATTATGCGCCTAGGTATTGCAATCTTTAAAATTCGGGTGTTTTCTTGTTTGAATTTCTTGGGGTTGGCAGGGCATATTTTTTGAGGATATCGAGGAACAACAAAGGATACGGATAAGGGATCGTTTTGTGCGGCCCAAGGACAACGGGATCGAGTTCCAGTGCATGCCAGGACATGCCGGGGAAAGTTGAGAGCTACACACAATGGGCGGCGGAATTATGAAATAATAATCAAGTAGGGCATAATCATAATGCCGTAACCTTGATGCAAAGGTAAACAATAATTAAGCTAGGCCAGGGGGTTCGTCTATATAACAAAAAGGGAAGAAAAAAACAAATGGAAAGGGATAGGTATCCTGGATGGGATCGCAATCACAAACGCACACGTGTTGCTTCCACCCGGACAGAGCTAATCTGCTGACGCATTCAGGACGGCTCGTTTTGGGATCTGGATGGGACATTCGAAATTGAGAACTCCTGGCAGCTGCTCGGGCTTCTTCGTCTTGATCTCCATCTTGGTCCTTGCTCGATTTTCCTGCGACTTGACTTGGCGAGCAGCTGCAGAAGCGATCGTTAAGCACACGTGCCAAGGTGAGTCAGCAGGAACAGGATCTCCAGCAGGACCTGAAGCGAAATCGCACCAGAGGAACCTGAAACAGGAGCAGAAGCGTTTATATCTGCAAAGCTATTATCCTGCTAACCGGGGAAGTTTTTAAAAATTAACCCATAGGCAAAAAATGGAATCATTAAAGAATCAGAATTTCCTTTTTAAAAAAAGAAGTGAATTGAAGAAGTTCCATATCCTGAGATTTGTCAGTTATATTATATCATATCATAAACTAATAAATATATTTTTTCTTGAGATACTTTCATAAGTAAAAAGGGCATTTTAACGCATGTCCTCAATGGGTTAATTCGTAACCCGTCCGAGGATGTTTCATTCTCCGAGGAGCAGCTGCTGTTTTGTTGCGTGAGTCGATCACGACATTTATCTGTTCGGCGGCTGTTTTGTTTTCCTGCCATTTGCCATCTTGCCACATTGCCAGGACAATTGGCAGCGGCAACCAGTTTGCGCCCTAAGCTTGCGAGTCCTTTGTCCTCGCAAGAAAGCTGCCAGGCAACCAGATCAGAGATCCCAACCCAAGAAACCCAACAACAGATGTTTTATTCTCGCGTTAAGGAACGTGTTTCCAAACATGATTTATGGCTCGGCCGCATTCGCGTTAGAGAGTGGATTGGAATCCTCCCGAAAAATAATAAGAGTCGGGGATCTTCGGTGGATCTTCGGAATGAAAGAGAGGGCCAGCAGAGCGGCCACATCATTGTTCCCATTGACCAGCTGCCAGGGCGGCGTCTTGGTTTTGGACTACCAGAGGGCCTTTGCGTAGAACCGGTCCCAGACGATCCTATTCGATCCCATCTTTCCAGCTTTGTGTCGTTTTTATGGCGTGTTATGATTTCGTATTACAATTAGCCGGCACAAAAGGCGCACGGCTGCCTATTTCTGGGTTGTCAATTGTTTGCATTCCATAAAAACGAGGGCCCCATAAATTCGCCGACCATGGCGGCGCATTAAAACTGTCAAAATTGTGCAGTTAAGTAGACATTAGATTGGTTTTGAGTGCCCTGCCGACTGACTGACTGACTACTTCATTAGATGGTTTTATGATGATCCCTGATGAAGAGGCAGCACTGACAAAATCATACAGTTCCGAGGGATACACATAATAGCGAGACCTAAAATATTTCATATTAACGGGTTCTAAACATTAATTTCTAAACAAACTATTGTAAAATACAATATTTTTATTGAAAAATGAATAAAAATCAATTCCAATTTTAATGGGAATTTACTATACGAACAATTAATATTTAATTTCCATCTAAAAATGAATGTAATCTAGTGCATTTAGAAATTAAATATCATATAATTTCCAAGCCGCAAACATAATTTTTTATTTCTTTAAAAATCAAGAATCAATAATAATAAAATAATAGTTCGCATTTTTTATTAGGTTCCTTGTAATTTTAATTAAACTTTTTTTCCCCCCCATTTTTTATTTCTCTCAGTGCATCTTGATCTCGATCATCTTAGAATGGGACAGCGGCACACACCTCCCGGCAGCACTTAAGACAAATAACTTAAACACCTATCGACAGGAGCCGGCAGCAGGCACGTTTGCTTCCGAGCTAGACGCATTTTCAATTAGTTTTAAATCACAACTAATTGAATTCATTTCGGAGCTGGGGTCTGCGAATCCCGATCGCGATCGCCATCTAGGCAATCTTATCTTAACAGTTATGATGTCCGCGTGGCAACCTGGCCGCCTGTTTTGGCATTCTTAGCCAAAATTTATTGACAAAATTTGCAACTCAGATTGCGGGCTTTGGGAAGAAGGGAAGGACATAACCAGGTGAGTTGCAGGAGGAGGAAGCTGCATGACCAGTAGCCCAGTAGGCAGAACCTGCCGCTGTCTAATGCTCAATGGCACTCGGCAAAAAAATTTCAACATTTCTTAAATTCTTTTATTCAATATCCTTAATAAAAGAATTCCACATATTATGTAGTTCTCAGCTAAAACAAAGAAAACAATCTAAAAAACTAAAAAAAAAAATATTTTTCAGAAAATATTTTAGAATTATGAAAGTTTTCCTTCAGATTATTTAAGCTTTATTTTATAATTCTTAAAATTTGCTTTAAATGAGTTTTTTCCCAACATTTTTAAAAATGTTTTTTTTTACATCCCAAAGTAAGAGTATGAAATTTACTTTTCTATGAATTAATATTAATAAAGTTTCCTTATTTTAAAAAAAAAAATTAAAAATTTCTGAAAAATTTACTTTTTATTGGCTTAAAATCAGAAAAAACATTTATTTTCAAGTGCAGAGGATGGGTTGGGAGACCCACCTTCTGACAGAACCGCTGCCGGCATATGTGAAATCTATGGTCGTGATGGCTGGCCTGGCTACAGAGTCATAATAAATGGAGCACCCAACTCCACGTTGGCGGCGCATGCAAAAAAGATCGGTTAGATCGGGCGAAAGGCACCGATTGTCCAGAGATTGCTGGGACAAGTGGCGCTGCCTTAAAGTCGCTGTAAAGCAACGGCTAAAAATGGGAATCAGGAAGCATGAGTACTTGGACTTTCTTTTTCTTGCTGCTCCCTTTTTCTTTTTTGAAAGTCAAACGGTTGCCGCCCAGACGCTTGACAAAAGTTGAATGCTGTGGGACTTTAGATCGATAGCTCGATAAAAGTTTGTTACATTTTCAGTTTAAAATATTTAATTAATTTATTTTTTAGGTATATAAACAATTATATATTTTAAAAATGTTTAGAAACAATTTTTTTGGTCATTTTATACTTTATCTATCTTTATTTTCGTTACAGATAATTCAAAATCATAATTTTTGGCGGTTCTTAACAGCTGTTATGTAAAACATAGGTTGGCAGTTCCTCAATTTGCAATCAGCTGATTTTGATTACCGAAAAACGAGTTGGCAGGTTCAATCGCTCTGCTGGTTCGGAGCGCATCAAATTAAAATCAATTAAATTCAATCAAAGCGCCCATATTGAAGCCGCAACTACAGTTCTGGACAGCAGAGAATCTTCCCGATAAGGCCGCAGATAAGATAAAGCCCTCAACTCCCCCCACAGGTGACAAAAAGGTGATAAGAGAGCGGCGGCAAGAGACCGGTCAATAATCGATTAGTAGCCAATTGCTAATTTGTTCATAAATACAATGTATATTGTTTATAATCTCCAGACGACAGAATGTGGCGAACGCTCAGCGGAGTCGCACGAACAGGAAGCCATTTGAACTTCTCCAGGATGCGTGGACTTTCGGCTTTAATCCAGGATAAGGCCTTGGTGGATGGCAACTGGGTGGATTCGAGCAACTCGAAGGAAACCTTTGAGGTCCGGAATCCCGTGAATGGAGCGGTGATTGGAAAGGTTCCCAACATGACGGTGGCCGATGCCCAGAAGGCCATAGACGCCGCCAAACAGGCCTACGAGTCCAAGGAGTGGCGATCCTTGACGGCCAAAGATCGCTCCAATCTGCTGAAGGTGAGTGACGGGATCATTTCTTATCAGGGGTCTCATTACTGAACCTTAGATCACTTAATAAACTTTAGTAATAATAATATAAGCAGTCAAACTTCTCTAAAAAGCATGGTAAAAAGATCCAGAACTTGTTTAGAGGCTGTATTTAATCATATGTGCAATAGAAACCTCTAGAAACCTGAATATTAAGCTTTATATTCTCAATAGATCTTTTAAAAATCTTAAAATTAAGACATATTCAATGGAATGCACTTTATCTTTAACTAATTTCAAGTTAGAAAGTTCGACTGTAGGTCATTGTCATAATTTCTCATGAAATATACACTAGTACAACTAATATATGTAGGCAAACTTCTCTAAAAAGAATAGTAAAAAGAACCAGAACTTGTTTAGAGGCTGTATTTCATCATTTGCGCAACAGAAACCACTAGAAACATGAATATTAAGCTATATATTCTCAATAGATCTTTAAAAAATCTTAAAGTTAAGACATATTCAATTGAATGCACTTTATATTTAACTAATTTCAAGTTAGAAAAGATCGACTGTAGGTCATTGTCACAATTTCCCTTGCTTTCTAGCTAACCCCTGCTAATCTTATCTAATCTCCCGTTGCAGAGGTGGCACAAACTGATCGAGGAGAACTCGCAGGAGATTGCGGAGATAATGACGGCGGAGTCCGGGAAGCCGATCAACGAATCCAAGGGAGAGGTGGCCTACGGCAATGCCTTCGTCGAGTGGTTCGCCGAGGAGGCGCGTCGCGTCTACGGAGAGATTGTGCCCAGTGCTGCTCCGAACAGGGAGATCATAGTGATGAAGCAGCCCATCGGAGTGGCGGCCTTAATTACGCCCTGGAATTTCCCGATGGCCATGATAACGCGAAAGGCAGGAGCTGCTTTGGCAGCGGGATGTACAGTGGTGGTGAAGCCCTCGGAGGACACTCCTTTAACCGCTTTGGCGGTGGCCAAGCTGGCCGTGGATGCAGGCATTCCGAAAGGAGTGATTAATGTAGTTACCACCAATAAGGCGGCTCCCATTGGCGATCTCTTCTGCAAGAGTCCCGATGTGAGGGGCATTTCCTTCACTGGATCCACTGAAGTGGGAAAACTGCTGTTCCGCAACTCCGCCGATGGCATCAAGAGGATCTGCCTCGAACTGGGCGGCAATGCTCCGTTCATAGTCTTTGATTCGGCCAATATTGAGAAAGCGGTGGATGGAGCCATGGCCTCCAAGTTCCGGAACTGCGGACAGACCTGCGTTTCGGCCAACAGATTCTTTGTCCAAGACAGCGTCTACGATAAGTTTGTCGGACAGCTGAAGAAACGCGTGGAGGCCTTGAAGATTGGCGATGGCCAGGGATGCGATGTGCAAATCGGACCTCTGATCAACGAAATGCAGTTCAAGAAAGTCAGTGGCTTTGTGGAGGATGCGAGGGCCAAGAAGGCGAACATTATCCTGGGTGGCAAGCCCTTGAAAGAGCACGGTGCCCTTTTCTACGCCCCCACAATCGTAACTGATGTGCCGCCCTCCGCTCAATTTTATTCAGAGGAGGTCTTCGGCCCGGTGGTCTCCATCATCCGTTTCTCCGACGAAGAGGAGGCGGTGAAGAAGGCCAACGATACCAGGAGAGGCCTAGCCGGCTACTTCTACAGCGAGAACCTGCAGCAGGTGTTCCGGGTGGCCAAGCGACTGGAGGTGGGCATGGTCGGCGTCAACGAGGGCATCATCTCGGCGGCAGAGGCGCCTTTCGGCGGCGTCAAGGAGTCGGGAGTCGGACGTGAGGGCTCCAAGCACGGCATCGACGACTACGTGGACATCAAGTACATCTGCATGGGCAACCTCAAGTACGACTGAAGTCCAGCGGAGGAGTCCCTTCTTCCACTGCTTTCATTTGCTGTCTTCCACTAGAATGCGATTTGTTAATTGTTTATAATTGTTGTAGAGCAACACGCCGCTATTTTAATAAATGTGCACAAAACTAAAGCTTCTAAGTTTACTATGCCTATTTAAAAAATTAAAAATATGCAAAATTGTCTACTTTCCACTTTTTAAATAGCACATTTGAACATTTAGAACATTAGAACATTTCAAATTTCAAAATCCATTTTACAGAATTAGGACGTCTATATTATATAGCTGCATAGGAAGGATCAAAAAATTAATGCCAAAATTATTAGAAAGCAGCTAACATTTTGATTGTTTTAACATATGGGCAGGTAAATCTAAATTTAATGTTTTTGTAAGCTAACAGGAATGATCGGCAAGGGTAAATTTAAATTTAATGTTTTTGTAAGTTAATATGAATTATCTGCAAGGGTATATAAGCTTCGGAAGGAAGCTTGCTTCCTTTTTTTTTTGCTTTCTACAGATTTGAACTTTTTTAAACGTTAAACGGTTTTCCCACTTTTCCGATTTTTACAAGCAGTTTTTCCCACTTTTTTCGATTTTTACAAGCAGTGCATTCAAAAGAAGTTATCGAAGAAGAAGAAATACCAGACGTTTCAGCGTCTGGTATCACTTGGCTGTGCGAAAGAGACAGGAACAAAATTACAATGCCAAATGACAAAATTGTAAGTAAATTGTTGATAACAAATTAAAAAGTGGTAGCGGTGGTAGCAAGAATGATGTGATTGTGCAGTGATTGCAGTGCAATTGGCTATCCAAACGCCCACAAGTACACTTGAAAAAAGCCGGCAAACAAAGTCGGTTTCCCCGTTCGATGGCGTTTGTTGTTGTTGCATTATATATGGCAAATATAATTAAAGAACCTTTTAGCCGGTAAAAGTTCTGGATAAAATGCATGTGACATCTATTTGGATGCTCTATTAGAAGTGTACTACCGGTACAAGTCTTAAAATGGGCCAAGAAGTGCAGGCGGTGAAATTAAGTGGTACCATGACTTGTAGATTTTCGACTGCAGTCTAGGCGAAAAAGTGGACCGAGGGGATTTGCGGGGGTTTTTGAAGACCCTAAACTGAAACCCAAATAAATTATTAACTATTATTCGACACTGAATGTCGCCCAGGGAAATGCATTTAAGTGCTGCACCTGGTAAAAGCGGAAATAAAGACGTGTCTGGCCAATACAACATTTTGTTTTTGGAGGGGTGTTGCACTTAGAAAAATTTCTATACCGTTTTTAAAATAAAAAAAATTTTCCATTTAAAACTTTAAATCTACTTTTATTTTTAATAAAGAAAATATTATTAAATTCTCATAAAACAATTAAATAAATATTTATAAAACACAATTATTACTGAAAGATTTTTTTTTTTTAATGAATAAATTTGGTTCTTTTGCAAAAGTTACAATAGTCCATATCTAAAACAAAAATTAAAATCTCATAATCTTGATAAATTAATTAGCATTATTTGAGCGTTTTAATTAAAGTTCCGTACAAAAAGATAACGTACATATATATATTTTTGTTTATTTTGGGTGCAAATCAATCTCTTTTAACTATGCACTCATTTTGGCAACGATCTGCAATTGTTTTTATTGCGATGCCAACAAGAATTTCACAGTCAAGTTCGCGCCTTCATGACGTACAGTCCGAAACACTAAGCAAAAAGCCTTTCAGGCTTTGGTAGCTCATAGCTACACTTGACAACACCCCCACCCAAGCCACCCACCACCCACTCGACCACCCACTCAACCGCCCACCCCAGTGACCCGTCCAGAAAGTCCAAAAAATGGCTTGTGCACCACTGCTGCTCGAGCAATTCATCTACAAGAAGCGCAATTTCGCCTACGCTTTTGTGCGCCATCGTCTGTTTGTGTTATGCAAACAATCGGTGCGACCAGAAATGCACTTATATTCACCTGCCGAAATAAATTAATATTTCTTATTATTTAATATTTATTCTTGCATTTCAGCTAATTCGCGTTCAGTCGGCGGAGGGCATCAAACGCATCGAGATCTCGCCCAAGTCGAATCTGAAGCATCTGTACGACAGCGTTCAGAATGCCCTGAAGGTGGATGGCTTCGGGCTCTTTAAGGAGCGCAACTTTCTCACAGAGCTGCCGGCCAGTGGCAGCCAGCTGGTGGGAGCATCCTTGAAGCACGGCGACATGGTCTACTTAAAACAGATGGCTGGCACATCGTCTCGGGTAAGCTGAACCTCTTAAAAACGATTGTTATAGGAACTAACAGGTATATTTCCACCGATTTCAGCGCACCAGCACCACTGTCCTGGAGAATCAGTTGTTCAAGAGCAGTAGCAGTAGCAACAGCAACCCGAGCAGCGCTCGTCCCTCCATCAATGTGGTCGAGGATGACGTGGACCAAGCGCTGAGCAAGGCGGATGGCACCATCAAGCGCGAACGCGATAGCAAGCTGTAAGCTGTTTCAGTACGTGGTTTTAATTAAAACTTACCAAACAATGTGTATATTGCAGTTGCCATCACAATGCCAACGGAAGGTGCGTCCATTGCTCCGCTTTGGAGCCCTACGATGAGTCCTACCTGAAGGAGCAAAACATCAAGCACTTGTCCTTCCACTCGTACATACGCAAACAAACCTCTGGAATGGACCAGGGCAAGTACTTCGTGTTCGACGACATCAATTGCCGCATCAAGCCCGGCTGCCGCGAGCATCCGCCGTGGCCCAAGGGCATCTGCTCCAAGTGCCAGCCGTCGGCCATCACGCTGAACCGTCAGACATATCGGCACGTGGACAACGTCATGTTCGAGAACACCAAGATCGTGGAGCGCTTCCTCAACTACTGGCGCACCACGGGCCATCAGCGCATGGGCTATCTGTACGGCACCTACGAGCAGCACACCGATGTCCCGCTGGGCATTCGGGCCAAGGTGGCGGCCATCTACGAGCCGCCGCAGGAGTCCACACGGGACTCGATTAACATCCAGCCGGACGAGGGAGCCGACGAGGTGGATGCCGTGGCCAGTGCGCTGGGACTGAAGAAGGTGAGCTACTGTTATTGCCAACTAGCTAATAATATCTGATAATTTTTGTATTTCCCAGATTGGTTGGATTTTTACTGATCTCATCACGGAGGATGCGAGTGTCGGCACTGTCAAACAGATCCGTGGCATCGAGTCGCACTTTATTACGGCCCAGGAGTGCATCACAGCCGGCGAACTGCAGAATCGCCACCCGAATCCGTGTAAATACGCCTCCAACGGTGTCTTTGGCTCAAAGTTCGTGACGATTTGTGTGACGGGTAAGATTCCGGCTAAGGATGCTCTTAAATAATGTTGGTTTACTAAATTGTTCTTTCTCTGTTTAGGAGATAAAACCAAACAAGTGCACATGGAGGGCTATGCGGTCTCTGCTCAGTGCATGGCCCTGGTGCGCGACAATTGTCTGATACCCACTAAGGATGCGCCCGAGCTGGGCTACGTGCGAGAGTCCACAGACAAGCAGTATGTTCCAGATGTCTTCTATAAGGTAAGTGCGGTTTGATCTCTATAAACTACTTTTGTGAAAGTAAGGATGTTATTAAGGTCATGAAAAATTATATTCCCCCTTTAAAAGTAAAACCAGCTTTTGAGCCATCAACCTTTATTGAATTACGTTCACATTGACACAGACAAATTCCACATTTAGACATCAATTGGGGCTTATTTCGGTAACATGCAAAGCAAATCGGAGTTTTAATACCAGGCCAATTAAACTCTTTACATGGAACATTAAGAGGCTTAGACTATCTTGAATTACAGTGATTTGCTTATTGAACAACTGAATTTTGTTTAGGTTCCTGTCTTCTCCTCGGTTTGTACTTCTCATCATTGCTCTGGGTTCTCCTTCGGTATTTTAATTCACTTATCGTATATCTATGACACTCAAACACAACGATCCTTTGCTGACACATTGTTCTATTAATTTTATTTAATTTAACTTAATTTTAGAGCCCTTTGAGCAACTGCCAGCCAATCACAATTTTCATTCTTTAACTTCTTACTTGGCCCTAATTCTAGTATTCAATTATTTGACGAACTTGCAGTTTTCGTTCTATCTAACGCTTTTTTTTAATGTCAATATAAGATTTCGTTTTGATTTTCCTAAAACTTTAAATTATAATATGAAGTAACTAATTCGTTCTTAAATTAAATATTTATTCTGCTAATTTAATTTGGAATTTAATAAAATCACTATGATTTGTTATTTTTTACTTCAAATTCTAAAATTAAATTATAAATTTTTAACTATTCTTTGCCTTTTTACCGACTTTATTCCCTTAACTTACTTTTGGATGGCTATTCTTGGCGTTCTTTATTTTATCCATCACAAACAGACCGTTAGTTATGATCACACAAAATGCATAAGTAGACATCGAAAAACTATCTTGGCTAACAGATATATTTCTTATTGGTAACTGAATTGACCACATTTATTTATCAGCTGTTACTTCCGATTTCACCTGTTTCTTGGTTTGAATGAAGAGCTCATCAAGATTTTTTTCAAGTGGTTCCACATAACATCTTATAAATAGGAATATGTATTATTTGTTTTTATGTTATTGTACTTAACTACATCCAGGTATCGTCGTAGCGCTCGAAACACAATTGAAGTGTTTCTTTAGTCCTTAAGATCTACTTAATTTACTTTTTCAGGGTCGGTTACAATTTCCACCTTGTCCATGATTTTGAAATATTTATAGGTCATTGAAAGTCTTCTTCTTTATTTTTGTGTCATAAATAGCATCCAAAACATTTGTTTGATTTGTAAATTGTTTATAAAAATTCCTTGTACTGAGCTAAAAAAAATTGGTTTCTGTTATTGACTATAAATTTATGCGTTGTCAAAAAAAACGTTGACCTTTATTTGACGATTGAGAGTGGGGGGCGTTTATTTCTACAAAAATTCGTACCAAGATCAGTAGATTTGTATAGATGTAGATATCGGGGAGAGTTGTACAGTTATATATTTAAATTGTGTGGGAGCTTTTGGTTGGTTAGTGTTTGTTGTTAGATCTTAAAGGGGACTTGGCTGAGAGACATGGTACTCGCCACAATTCCGGATGATGCTTCTGAGTGCCGGGCGTCCCAGCGCATTGCCACTGGCTGCAATGCGGTCCACCAACTCGATGCCCTGCACGATGAACCCAAAGATGGCCGTGAAGGAGCGCATCTCGTTGAGCACCAACCGGAACTGGCTGCCCACGAATCCACTCCTGTCCTGTCGCCGCTGTCCCCTGCGCATGCCAACCGTTCCCCGATGTGCCGGCAGTCCCGTGTCGTCCGGCAGGAAGTACCGATTGTCGAAGGCCGAGTGGCCCCCCCGTCCGTTGTGCGACTCAAAGTCGCCGGTGATGATGCTCTCGCCTCCCCAGGCCTGAAAGACGGAGCAGCCCCGGTAGCCATAGCCCCGCTCATGGCGCACCAGCGCCCCAAAGTTCTCCGCCATCCGGGGAGCGGCATCCGTTCGCACCTCGATTAGTACCCGGCCGGCCAGTTCGCCTGCTATTTCCATGTCCAGAAAGTAGATGGGATAACAGTGAACGGAGGGCTGGCGGACAATGCTTACCGGGGAACTGGAACTGGCGCCATCCTGGTACTGATAATCCTGGTTCTGCTCCCAGTTGACCCAAGATGCATCCAGCTGATGCTGCTGCTGCTGTTGCCATTGCTGCTGCTGTGCCTGCCACTCCATCTGTCGATACTGCTGCACCATCCGGTGGTGATCCATGTCCAGAACATATGTGTGGATCTGCTGCTGCTGCTGCTGCGGATCCGTGGCGATGCTATTGCTGCTGCTGCTCGGCGAGGAGGAGGAACCATCCTCCGCCAGTCTGTTCAATGCCTGATTCTGATCCCTTTCGACCTGCTGCATGTACATCCTGGCCTCGACCTCCCGCTGATAGTGGGTAAAGTGCGGCGGCACCACCGCTCGCCGGGATTGCGGCAGCAACTCGACCTCCGGCGGCGGAGTTCTGGCCTGCGGCGGAATCAACTGGCGCTGCACTTCGTTCCAGTAGGCAAACACACAGTAGTTGGTCAAGATGAGCGCCCGCGGTGGCTCCACATTGGCGGGAATGGCACCTGGACGAGGATTGCTGCGCAGTTTGAGGATTCTATCGTTCAGATGATCGAAATCCAGGACCTGCATGCCGTTCTCCTGAACGGCGGCCCGCATGCGGCAGTGGAAGTGCACCTCCATCAGCTGCCCCTCGAATCTGCGCCGCTGTTTGGCCAACTGGCCGAGCAACTGCATCATATCGGCACCCGTGAGACTGCCGGCGGCCCGATTGAGATCCAGTTCGGCGCGTCGCTGCCAACCCATCATCATGGCGGCCACCAAGCTGGGCTGGTGCTCCAGCATCACGCGCTTCACATGCAACTGCACCTGGAAGCAGGCTTCGGAGAGGTCGCGGAACAAGTCCATCTCGCGGGCGGCCAACTCGGTGGTCTGCAGGGCCGCGCACTTCACCTTGGCCAGCTCCGAGCTGAGCAGCTGGCGCAGGAGGTCCTGGTAGTCCAGCTGGCGGACCATGCGATGCTCCCGGTGCATTGGGACATCCGAACAGGCGCGGCACAGCAGGCGCTGGCAATTGTGGCACCACGTGGAGTTTGGCATGGCATGGATGAAGCAGTGCTCAGAGCCGCTGACCAGGAAGCTTTCCACGCAGATCTCATCTAACCAGTTCTCCGAAGGAGACTCCTCAGCGGTGGTCGCCTCGCCAGAGGAGGATTCTTCGGCGTTCCTCTTGGAGAAGTCCAACATGGCACGGCCCAAAACCAAGGCAGGCAGCTCGCGGAGCAGATACATGATGCCGACAGCTTCCGGCAGCTTCTGGCCACTCAAGTGGGTGCAAACTCCGCACAGGGGACAGATGCACTCGGCCGAGTCGGGAACTGTGCTCCTGGACACGCACTCGTCGCAGAAGTTGTGCTGGCAGAGCAACTCCCGGGGCAGCAGGCCGGTGGCCAGGTCATAGGGACGACGGCACAGGCCGCAGCTGAGCAGCGACTCCAGCTCCTTCGGCACCTGGATGGGCAACTCCATTCTTTTTGTTCAGTACTAAAAAATAGAAAATTCGACCTAAATTATTTTGTTTTCTGGGTGAAACTGTTCGTTAGGTGTTCCTACTCCTATGGAATGTACTTTTATGTGAGGAGATGTTGTACAACTGACATTTGGCAAACCATTTTGCATAGAGCTCTACGATTAGACTTTTAGGACCAAAAGTGTTTAATATGTTAAATTCTATATTAGTAAATCTTTAAAAATATTTTAAATCACCCGTCTAATTCGACTTCAACTTTAAATGGATTTTCTAATCAAGCAAAAATAGCCCACCATAAACAATTCCCGTTTAATTTGCGGTCTCCCACAAATCATCAGCAGATGTCTTCAACTTTATTTGCACTTAGCTCGAGCAGCTTATGCACAATAAATAAATAACCAAATTTAACGAAATTGAAAAGTTCTTGATTCAGCATTCTCACAACAAATAAATAAGACTAAGACCTCTGTTTCAAAAGCTCAAACTTCAAATTATTTGATTTGTATTCCCCCATTACTAAGTCATTTTCCTGGGACTCCTTTCCTTGACTCTTGATTTTTAATCCACAAAAAACTTTGTAAATTTTCAAATTGTTTATACTTTGAGTTGATTGTGATTAACCTTTCACTCACACCTTCTCCCGAGAAATCTCCTACCATTTCTTGTTAGTTGGCCTAATTCTTTTGGTGCGACCCTTGAGAAAGTTTTTTCGCCGTGTGGCAGTTATTGGGACTTTGTTCTAAGCTGTGTAATCAAAGTTTTTGTTTGGCCCGAGAGTAGAAACCCCAATTTAATGTGTAACAAGCGGTCTGGGGGTCAAGCAAAAGCGGCGGCCATGGCAACGCACAGAAGTCTCTGAAGTCTGGCCAAGGAAAATAGCATCATATTCGCATTCGGAGAAAATATTGACCAAAAGCCAAAACTTTGTGGGCCAGTAACATGCGTGTTATATTTGTGTTTCCGTGTGCAAATAGCCTGGAACTAGGTTAAACAAATTAATTAATATTCAATCGAAGTAATTGCGACTGCTGTTTAGTTTTTGTATAAATCTTTTGGAAGTGTATTTTATTACCACTCCTCTCTTTATTTTGCTCAGTTATATTGGATGATGTGTCATATAATAATGACAGATTTTAGCCAATTTAAAATACAGAATATTCAAAAAAAAAAATAAATATAATTTTTATTTCGTGTCATAGTAAATGAAAAATTTTAAGGACCCCCCCATATCCCATGACGAGTTAAGACCCTTTTTTCAGGACGATTTGTCCGGCATGCAGAGCAAACACAAAAAACTGCTAGCAAACATTGTTGAAAAATGAGCTCTGAAGTGACCTTCTGCAGGTTTTTTTCCTCTTTTTTTTATGATGTTACAGTACACCTGCTCAAACTGAAGGCTTCAAACGTTTCGATTTTTTCTTGCCCATCTCGGATTCTATTTTATTTTTTTTTTTTTTTCTAGAAACACGTTTCTGGCATTCCTTACGCCGATTTTGTTTTCTGTTTATTATTCACTTTTGGTTGTATGTTTGCCAGTCGCTTTTCCAACATTTCCTTCCCCTTTTCCTCTGCAATTATGCAAATGTTTTAAGCTGTCTGCGAATTTAGCTGGCTCCTGACAATTACAGGGAGAAGTTCTTTTTGCATATGGCACACAAAATGTTGCCTACTTTTTGAGGTCTTTCCTGGGTGGAATCTATCTTTATTTCACACTTTTCGCCATCGAAGCAACAAATAAATTCCTTGGAAGACTGGCATAAATACATATTTATGGCACTTGTTTTGTATACCAGGCATCTTGTGTTTTGCATAAAAAATGTACAAAATGTGCGTGAATTCGTTTCGGTAATTGTTTACAGCGCCTGGAAATTAAGTTGACAATTGTACCGCACTGTATTCATGACAATTGTGTGTTTTGAAATAGGGGAAAATCGAGAAAAGCGGGAAAAGCCAGTGAAAGTCTGGGCGAGACAATGACAGATTTCCGTTGTCGTTGGTCGGTCGGTTTATTTGCTTTTGGGCGGCAAGTCTACAATAAATTAACCGCTCGACGTCTGTCTGTCTCTCAGTATTATTCAGGCTTAAGTCACATTTAGCCACGTTTACTTCCATCAGTCGACACCTTGAATGTCTTAATTAGTGCGCCTGACAAATGTTTTTGTTTAATTCCCTTCCTTGAGGTTAATTCTGCAACGCGGAGTAATTGTCCCTCTAGTTTTTTTCATTCCGTTTTTATAAGCCTGCGTAATTGGCTAACTTTTTGTGAAACTTAGTTGCTGTCGAATGTCAATTGTGGGCGATGTGACAAAGTGGTAATTAATGGGGATAAAAAGGGTGAACGAGTCGCCGTATTAAAAGGCTATTTATACCTTTCACGTGGGCTCATAATCTGCACGCTTAAATCTGCTTTGGTAAAATATAAAAAATTCTGCAATTATATCTACGCGTTGAGAAAAAGGGATCTATGGTGGATATACAGGAACAAAATTGACAAAAAATCAGATTGATATCTGCAGGTTAATTTAATATTTTTTACAATATTTGTTAAATAATACTACATTTTGGTATTTTAAAACAGTATTTTTATAACTTTTGTGAAATTATAAAATATCAAGTTGATATGTTTGAATCATAAATTTGACATTATTCATACCGGTTTTTTGTTGATATAAAATAAGTTAGAAATTACCCTATTTCATATCGAATTTCTAAGCACTACAATTACCAAGTAACTTTTTAATTTTTATATTCAAACAAACAATTTGCCTACTGTCTCTGATTTATTTATCCCAATTTCCAACCTTTTTTCCCATACATTTTTAACATGCCTGTTGCACATTTTGATGTTTGTCGGTTTTTTTACGCCCTGGGAATTGTCCTGAAATCGCCTTTTGTCTGGGTTCCTGCTTATTTATCACACATGTCGAATCCTTTCGCTTAGCACATGCAATTCCCAAATGAAATTAAAAGTTTTGCACGTCAGTAAAAGCTCAGGGCTTATGTTTTATCGCAATGGGCAGCCGCCTGAGCGAATTGGCTTAATGAATTCCCAGTAAGTTTAAATGTAAATTAAGTTGGCAAGCTTTCATTCGCCAGGTTAAGCGGAATAATATTATTTGTATTTGAGTATTACAGGCTTTGAAAGCATTCCGTATAAAAATTCATATGTTTCGCACTTCAACGTACACGTCCCTCTGAATAATTCAGAGTTTCCGATGTCTGCTCAATCAATTTGCACAACTGCGTCAGCGAATTCAGGCCAAGCATTTGGCTTAAAATCATAAAAAGTGGCGAAGGCAAATCTGCAAATCGATAAGCAATTTGTGGCCTGGTTCGCTTTGGCTTTACTTTGGCCCACTTCCTTCTCCTTGGGCTCATTGTCAGTGCCATCGGACATTGGACATTGGCCTGGCTTTTCGCTTTTATGCCTGGCAATAAAAATTTATTGCGTGCCTGTGTGTCACCTTCGATGGACAGGATAGCGAGCAGGAGGTCTCTATTTCTGGCCGGACCTTACCGCAAACTCCCCTTTGCTAATTGCCATAAGCGGACTAGGGCCAAGAAATAATTGCTTCCCCCGTTTTAATGGCAGTGCAAACGTGCTGAGAATTTCCCAGCCATATGGCGAAGTGTGCGATTCAAATTTGCAAGGGAGCTATGCGCCTGATGATGGACTTTATTTGAATTACCGGGTGCTAAGTTTCTTTTGGGTTCAATTTCCACTTTTTACTTCCCAGGCTTACGCAATTTGCAGTTCAGCATTTTGTAAATAGTTTTCCAAGGCCACAGGCAATTACCGCTGAATTAGTTATTATAAAATTGCATTTTAATTGAACAAAATGACATCTGGTCGAAGTGAGTTCGCTGAAAAACTTTTAATTTATTGGAATATATCTGTTAAATTTTATTTTATTTTATTCCATTTTAGTAATGCATAGAAGCGCATATTAGCATTTTCCATTGAATTTTAGTGATGTTATCACGATGGCAAGAAAATTGGTTTCCCGGAAGTCATTTAAAGTGGATCAAAGAAGCTGAACAAAAGACTAGGACATTATCCTAACAAGACACTTTTACAGGCAGCGGGAAAACAACTTCTTGCCATCAGAAATCATTTGGACAATTTAATAAACGTGCTAGATTAGTAGTTAAAGTTGCTCAGCTTTCTCACACGTTACATATGAGGGTTGCTACTCGCAGTTGACAAATAATTAGCATACTTTTGCGGGGCAAATCGACCTTTTTTGATTGATGGCCCTTGGCCCCGCCGGCCAAAAGCTTTCCTGCCAGACTTCAATCATGCAAATTAACCTTCAGCATGTCAAATCATGTGCTAATCAAAGCGAAACTTTGATGGATGCGAAATGGAATGTGGTGAATCTCTGACAAATAAGTGTGGCTGAAGGTCTGCATCCGTTGAGATATGATAATGAATGTACTGATTAAATGATAAAAATGGGATGTAAGATCTAAAGAAAATTTAAGAAACCATTTATTTTTATATTTGTTTATTTAGGTATGGAAAATAAGGACAAGAAATAAGAACAGAAACAGTGTATAAAATAATTAAAATTAATTTAATAGTTTAAAATTTTAATTTTATTTATTATATAGTCTTTTTTTTGTTATTTTTATTTTTAGAATTGAAAACAATCTCAAAAACTCTTAAATCTTACCATAAGTAGGTTTTATTCCTCAAAATTGGGGGTCATTAAATATATTTTATGTTAAATGTTTCACTTTAAAATCCACAGGAACTTGATTGTTTTCAATTGTTATTGTTTTGCCTTTAGTTTGTGTTTGTTTCATAGTTTCTAGCTTGAAAATGCATCAAAAAATATTGAAATTTTCGGTTTATATTGTTTTGACATTTGTACACTTGCACTTTCACTTACTTCTGGGTGCACTTGCAGGAGGTGAAAGCTTTGAATATTTTACTCTCACTCCTCGGACTCATTTTCTTTTTGATGTTCGCTGTTTGTAGCTTGTTCTTCTGCTGCCCCACAGCCTGTTTTTGCTCCTTATTTGGCTGCCCTTCCTGCTGGGATTGCACCGAGTCCTCGGACTGCTTCTGCTGTTGCTGCTGCTGCTGTTCGTGTTGCTGCTGTATCTGTTGCTGGTGTTGCTGCAGTAGCTGTTGCTGTTGCAGACGCGATTTGAATGCTGCATTGCTAAGCTGCCAGCTGCTGGCGGAGGCTCTCAGCGGCGATGGCTTCGTGTGCTGCTGCTGGTAGCTTGGGGCCGCGCTGGCCAATCCCGCCGAGCTCTCGGCGCTGTTGGACGAGAGCGTCGAGGAGGCTACCGCCGTCCAGAACATGTTGACCTGGCTGGCTAAAGGTTCTACTAAGCATGGGGTGCAATTCCTCCTTCAGGCCAGGCATGTTAGCCAAACAAAAAATGCAAATTGATGGGTATTCGAAACACAAATAACCAAGGATAACAACGCGTGCCGTTCGACTTTCAGCGCAGCTCGTCCTGCCCGTTTCGCGATTTGTTGGCAAATGCAGCCTCGGCTCGCCAGGATGGGGCTTTTATAGTGGGAGAGCGCTGGGAGAGAGCTTGCGAAGCTTCGGGTGTCCTGGCATCTCTCTCTTCGCCGTGTTCAGTGCCTTCCAATGTCAATGTCAAGCTGTTTTTCCTCTCGCTTAACACTCTTTTTATGCTCCACAGGGCATGCAAGTAATTTGGATTTTGACTTGCAACTCTGCAACCTACTTTTTCATTTTGGTTTTGGTTGGCTCAGTTGCAGCTGCAATTAGATTGTTAAGTCAATTGAAATGCAATCAGTTGTTACCTTTCAGGAAGTATTGCTGTTTTGTTTAGAATGCCAGACGCATTATCTATCCCTTTCTTAGTTTGACCATTTTCCCGTAGAGTAAAAGGGTATATTGTATCGGAAAGAAACCTTTCTGATGCTATGAAGTTATTTAATAACAGAATTGATCTAGAACTGTCCGTCTGTCCGTCTTGTTCGTCTTGTCCGTCCGTATAAACGCTGAGATCTAGGAAACTGCAAAAACTAGGAAGTTGTGACTTCTTATACAGATTCTAGGTGCTCCTATGCAGCGCAAGTTTCTTTCATAACGATGACTCGCCACAGAAATTTGTTATTTTATACGAATTCAAATTGGACCATTCATTATAAAGTGAATAATGAAATCGACACTAGATTTTATGCAATTTTGCTGCTTGCATACCTCCATCTCACTAGCACTTTTTTTTTTTTTGGAAATTTTCTGAAAGAGGATTAAAGAAAGAACTTGTTTGTTCTCTTGCTCTCTTTTGTGACGAACACAATGACTGCATTTGGCAAGCCCAATAAATTGCAATGGTGTCTGAAATAATAGAAAAATTACAACTTCATATTTCTACATACTGCATTTTCAACTATTGGCAGTTTTGTATTGACTTTAAGTCAAATCAACAGCATTGGGCATTCTACTTTGGACAGTATTGTTTTCACATTTTTCTAACAATGGGGTCAGGTTCTGTGTTGACAAACTTCAATTTGCAGGTCCAGTAGACTTGCATTGTCTCGAAAATCCCATCCAATGTGGGAGATATTTCAAAATGATAGCTTAATTCTCAACTAGTAGCAAATTTGTATTGATTGATTTAAAGTCATTGTCGGCTGCTCTTTGATGATAAGCTCCAAGCACAATGGCTTCAATTTGCAGGTCCAGTAGATTTGCATTGTCTCGGAAATCCCATTCGAGAGATGAGATGTTGAAATTCTTGTTTGTGTTACAAAATTTGTAATTGATTCAAGGCTAGTTTCGCCTGCTCTTTGAAGATAAACTCTAGGGACAATGGACTTAACTAGCTTAGCCTCGAAAATCCCAGTCCATTGGCAACTTGAGTGACAAAATATAGACACATCCCATGGAAATTGTGCATTAGAGAAACTTTGATGCAATCTAATTTGAAGCTGCAAACTTGATTTTCCACCGCTGACGCAAGCGGAAGCGGAAATTTGTAATGCAACAAGTTTTGAGTGGCTCCTGGTAGTTTAACATGGTTAAACGGGCAGAGGGTCCGCGTCCGATATCCTGCTCAACCTCTATTATGTACGTTCATTGATTTTGTTTGACCAGCTTCTGGTCCACCAGGTATCCCGCCACCTGCCGACGAGTTGGGGCTCTGCGGAGTTAATTAACTTATGTGTGCTGCATGTGATGCGTGATATTTCGTTCCATTTGAATGCACTGGCATCGAACGGGGCACTCCTCCGCGGTTTAAACGCCCCCATTTTGGACGCCCACAGCTCGAGTTAATTGCGTTTGTCGCGGAGCTGAAATCAAAAAGCCAGAGAGGCGTGGAATGTCCAGGCATCAATATCCAGTGTCCGTTTTTTACCCGAAAATTTTGTCAACGATTCTCCGTAGAAGTTGATGTAAATACACTCTGACAGTCGCCCACGTAAACTGCTGGCATTTCCAAATTAATCATGACATGAAAACTTTCATTTCAATTTTGCAATATTAAAGGTCAAGACGTCAAAAAGGTCCAGTTGTCAAAAACATTTATTTTAATCAATTTATGTTGATATTGCAGTACTGCATACTTCATACGAAGTACGTACAGTTATATTCCTCATAAAGATACATTGGTGACCTTTTTCAATCAGGGGATTCCCCGAACGAGGCTTCCTTTTAGCAGCTGGATTACTGGGAACCAGCCTTCTGTCTTGAGTGCGGGGATATGGCGACCCTGAACGTAATGTCCAAGACCAAAGACAAGTGCCGCCGGCCTTGATAGATGATAGAGCAAGGTCATTGTCGAGCTAACAGGTTGCTCGACAGCGAGCTTTTAAAGCGGAAGAGAGAGAGAAAAAAGAGAGCAAATCAGACGTCAGCAAATGGGTTTTTTCCCTTACTTTCCGGGCCCAAATGCGATGTAGGTCACTGGGCCAAGACTGGCTGGGCTAAACCGTCAATAACCTATCTTATCTTCTTGTAATTCCGCCCCCAGGAAAAGGACCAGTACGGCAACGAGGTGCAGCGACTGGCTCGCCCCCTGCCCGTGGAGTATCTGCTGGTGGATGTGCCCGCCTCGACTCCCCTGCAGCCCATTTACACCTTCACCGAGTACGACAAGCGGCAGCAGTTCCCCATCGAGAACCGCTACATCGACGGCCACCTGCAGGACTTCAATGCTTTGAGCTGCTACCTGTCCGCCTGGGGCGACGAGGAGTTCCTCGAGGCCATCTCCGACTTCCACCTGCTGGTCTACCTGTACAAGATGGACATGCTGCCGCTGCGCCAGCACATGGGCCCCCTGCTGGAGGCTGTGCGCACCAAGAACCCCAACCAGGCGGCCCAGTTCAAGGTCGAGGATGTGTGGAAGCTGCTCGAGTCGCTCATCCAGGCCAGTTCCGGCGGCAGTGGGTGAGTTTTCCCTACCCTTCCCTTCCCAGAATTTATATATTGCATTTAACTAATTGATTGTTTTTCCCTTTCCTTACTTCAGTGGAACCACCAGCTATCCCAGCGGAGGGGCCTCGGCCAGTGCCGGAGCCTCGGGCTCGGAGGCCATGGATTTGGACGCCAACACCTGGACGTGCAACCACTGCACCTTCATCAACCGCGGCGAGCTCACATCCTGCGAGATCTGCTCGCTGCCGAGATAAGAGCCCCAGACAGACGAAAATTCCACGATTTGCAGCAGCCTAGATGAACCATTCGAAATTCCGGTGTAAAACAAACTAAAGATTCAATCATACTTACTTATAGCAGCGGCTGGAAGACATGGGTGTCCCTGTCCCCCTGTCCCTCCCCCTCGCACACACACATACACATGCACACTTAGAGGCGCACGGACAGACACAAACACACGCAGCGGTTCGTGCGAATGTCGCGCTTTCTCTATATGTAATCCTTGTGTAAGAATTTTATAAAATAAAACAAAAAGAAGGAAGGAAAAATTTAATTTATTTTTAAATAAACTTCAATTGTTGTGCACATGGTTTGTGGTTTTTATTTTTAGTTTGGATTCAAAGTTTTTAAGGTCTCGCTGGCCAAGTAAATTCAGGCCACCTTATCGTAGCAGGTTTGGGTAATAGATCATCCCAGAATTGTCCAGGCGGTTGCTATATATAGATAACAAAATATTAGGGTGATTAATTAAAGTCGCTTTAGACGTGTGACCACTTACTGCAAGTCCGTGACTACGTGGCACTAGAAATATTAATAAAAATACGACAAGGTTCAATTTCCACATCTTGATGGTGCTTCTCTCACTGATCCGCAAAACATTCGATTTTAATGTTCTGTTTGATAATCTACTTTTTCTGGTCTTCGAAGCGAAACGAAACGAAACGACTTTTCCATATCGAACACATTTAGTTCTTTTAACGCCTTTTGCATTTGCCGTAGAAGAATTACATATATTCACTTCTCAATTTGGCAAATATAATAAATGTGAACAATGAGTAATGAAATTACTATTTTCTATAAGTCCTACGGGATTTCTTCTTACAACATTTAGAATGCTCTTTGCCAGGATACACAAATATATACAGGGGTGGTCAAAAGTATTTTCACAAATATAAATGTTAACTGTACTTATATTTTGAACTAATAATATAAACTTTTGGCACCTATAGAAAGAGCACTTCAATTCCGTTTAAATGACACAAAAATGTTCTTAACCCATTAAGACCCCTTTGAAAAGTGAGCAAATGCCAAAGTCAAATTTTCGACTTTTTTCCTGGGGCTTAAAACAAAAATGTTTTGATGCAAAGTTGTTCCCCAATCAAAATTAATAAGACCTGCAAAAAAAAATGTTTCAAAATATTTTTCCTTGTATTTTTTATGATTTTTTGAATGGAGACCTCTCAGTAAAATTTTGTATGAAAAGGAAGAAAAAGCGGCAAAAATAGCTATTTTCAAAAAATCATAAAAAATACAAGGAAAAATATTTTGAAATTTTTTTTTTGCAGTTATTATTAATTTTGATTGGGGAACAACTTTGCATTAAAACATTTTTGTTTTAAGCCCCAGGGAAAAAGTTGAACATTTTATTTTCAAAAAAAATTGTCTAATTTGCTCACTTTTCAAAGGGTGCTTAATGGGTTAAGAAAATTTTTTGTGTCCATTTAAACGGAATTGAAGTGCTCTTTCCATGAGGTGCCAACATGTTTATATTATAAGTTCAAAATATGAGTACAGTTAACATTCAAATTTGAGAAAATACTTTTGACTAGGGTTGTAAATAGGAACCTTTAGAAAACACAAGAAAACTACGTCAACAATGTAAGAGCGACAGATTTTAGTCTTTATCAAAATTTCGTGTGAAATAGAACAAACATTCCCCATTTGGCAAAAGCTATATCAAATTTTTACTCTAAATTTGAAAATTTTAAATATTGGATTAGCTGATTTTAATACAATGGCGCTTCGTCTTACAGCTTTAGCCTTCCGAAGGCGCGCTCCTTTATTACTCGTGCCAAAGGTAAGATATAATAAGATGGCATGATAACTATTCATATGATAATCTTGCTTTAACGACCCTATCCTTAGTTGCAACCTCCACCGTCAACCCGCACTTTATTGCTTAGGAGTAAGTGCCAGATTAAAGAGAACTCAGTTCAGATCATTTTATTTACAGACCCACTTTCTTTGCAGAGAATCTGGTACCGCTTATAGATGATGATCCTTGTGTGTTCTCGAAGAAAGCCATTATGCATCACTGGGGGGTAAGTGCATAATAGTCGAAAAATCGGGGACCCCCTACCAAAACTTACCATTTTTGCTATAAATCTGTAATCGGAATCTATAAGAGGTGTATACTTGTATGCTTACTTTAAGTGCCTCTAGCAGACTTTTGGAGCAGTTCTAAGTAGGATAGACCCAAATAAGGTTATTCAGTGCAAATTTAAAATCAAATTCTTAATTAGTGTATTTGTAGGAAAAAAAGGAAAAAGGTAAAGGTAAATTTTATTAAACTAGCTACGCGCAAGATTCATAGATACAAAATTATAATAGAAGTGTTGGGTGTGGAAATGCACGGAAATTAAGTTGGTTGAAACTACAGAGCAAATTATTTTATGTGAAACATTTATTGTGGTATATATGTATATAGTATATATATATAATTAATTATATTAATACGCTGCAACATTTAAGATGAGTTCGGTTTGAGTTTCGTGTGGGTCAAACAGCAAATTTTTACGCAAATTCAAGTTTACTCAATACCAACTGATGTCTGATGTCTGTCTTTTTGTGTGAATGAGTGTGCATGTATGTACTACGATCTAATCAAATCTATACGTTATCTATGAATACTTTATATAATATTTAAGTTTCAATAATATATTTATACGGCATAAGAAGCTAAGGGCAACCAACTTTGGGAACAGCATTTCGAAAACTTGTCGAAATCCGTCACAGTTTTCGATGGTTTTTGTATATAATTTTGTATTGCACAAACACTTGCAACGTAAAACATTTAATTCTTTTTTTTATACTTTTATATATGCTACTATTTTGGTTTTTTCTTAGATCGACCAACACAACAACACAGTGTGCATTGGTGTATCAATAAATTGGTTCATCTTTCAACTCAGCGCTTAGGGTTCTAGTGTTAGCTTTTTGGGTCACCGTTTTAATGTTCAAGATCGCGCTTACGGTAGCAGACCTTTAAAATACAAATATATATTTAATTATATGTTTCTATTTCTTGAGTTTGCCTCAACATTAACACATCGGTATCAAAGTTATATATTGCTTATATGTTGTCCTCGCTCTGACTATCTACCTACAATATCTGACTGTTAATTGTTGAATCATATGATTTACCTTTCGCTTGGAGGATGCTCTCTAGCAAACTTTGAGTTCACACAAAAAGGGTATTGTCGCATATGTATTTTCTTAAAAAGAGTTCTTCGGTTTTCGCTTGCTGATCATTGATTTCAATTAAGATATCTTTGTATATCAAAAACCATGCTTTGCCTTCTGTGTGTCTAAGCCTAAGATAAAGCAATAACTAAGGTTGATAAAAAAGTAGAATTGGATACCACTTGTATATTTATGTACAAATCAGAATGATTGAAATAAAAATACTGCAATTACTGCACTAAAAGCATGAGTATCATACACTAGAATCGAAAATAAAAACCAAAGTTAATTGGATATCCTTGTAAAACTTATCTTTACTGTAACAGAAAATCACAAGTCGAGAATACCGACTTATAACCGGCACTCAAAATTTGTATGGGAAATCATTTGGATTCTACTGTGTAAACAAAGTTGATTAAATGAATTTTAGATGGTACTTGTGTGGAATCGGATCAAACTATATTTTATGAATATTTTATTAAAAATGTAATGAAACAATTGTTGTGAGCCAAGCTAATGTATATAAAAACGAAAATGAGCACCGGGAATATTCTAAAAACAAAACAAATTATACAACTACTGATAGTAAAGTGAATTTGTATGTAATCAATGTCGATATTACTAAATGTCAATCATTTACCATTACTTTTACTTTTACGATTACGTGGTACCAAGTTCGAAACGAATAGTACGTTATACGAGTACATTTTACAAAGTCTAATATGACGGTGGTTTCTAATTCAACTATGAACTAATTAGTACCATACGAATGTACGAGTATATATAGGTATATATAATTACAGCTAGTCTTACGCTAGACATTAACAATACAATGGTTGTACAGACACTTCATTTTTGTTGTGCATTATACAGGAGAAAATTATTTCGTGCAAACTACTTTCAAATTACAAACATACTTTTCCAAATTTTATTTTACTCGTACTCCATTAAATTTAAACCAAATACAAAGGTTCTATTTGTAAAATTTTCTTTCACATTTCATTTATTCGTTTCAATTCAATTCAAAAAAGGGTTTTATGCCAAGAAGTATTTCAATAGGAAAATTACACAAAGGGTTCACATTATATTTTTTTATCAGCAATTTGTTTGATTTTTCTCGGTTTGGATTTTGGGGATTTTGGGCTAAAAGAGTAAATACCGTTTACATGTCCTTTGTATATATCGAAAGAATTATATATTGTGTTTCAGTATATATGTTGGTGTCTAAACATCGCTACAAGTATAGAGCGAGAAATAGAGCGACAGCAGTTACATGTTACAGTTACAAGATACAGGGTGTTGTATATAATATATCCGTTTCTCGTTACAGGCTAATCAAATAATAAGCATTTCGTAAAGAAATGTATGTAAGCTTGGCTGTTACAATAGAACTGCATACTTTCTGATCTATGGATACGTTTCTGAGCCCAAGCCAAGCTCAATTCAAAGGGTTTCATACTGGTTTGCTTATGGCCTAAAAGTTATATCGTTTATATATATTTATATGAAAACTTATTTCTAGCCTTCGTTTTGTTTACCAAATCGTTCAATATAATGCACTTGCTTATCGTTTACATAGTTTGTTTTTATCTTTCCTTGACCTTCATTCCAATCTTTGGAGAAACAAATTTACAACAGTTAGTAAGAAGAGCCTTCAGCCCGTCTGCGATTTTTTTTAGTAAGAGTTCGAAACGATCTGTATGTTTGGAACCTTAATAACCGGGAGAACCTAATATCAAAATTCAAAACAAGGTTCTATACCATTTCTTTTTCAAATGGTAAATGGTTGCTTTCGTTTAAAATTCCTCGTTGCAAAAATTGTACTGATTGATTACGTGTAACAAGTATAGCCAAAAGCTGAGCTCGGTCCGCCCCTTGAAATTGTTTCGAAATCATCGGGGGTTTTAGACAAAACGTAACTGAATTTTATTACCCCTAAAATTTCTTTCTCCCGTTGTCACTATTGGTGTAAGAACTTTTTTCATTTCAATTAGTTGCTGGAAGACGAGTCTAAGTTATGTTTTTTTCGATTAGGAAAGTCTTAGCAAGGCTTTCTGCTAAAATTTCGTTAGCGATTTTACTCACCTCAGTTTTCGAGTATTTACTTCACGACTTTTATTGTATTTAGCCTTAATAAAAAAAACCACGGTTGTATCAATTGAACTTGGTGTTGATGAATTCGTTCTCTTTAATTTGCATTCCATTTCAAAAAGTAGCTCAGTAGAATTGATATGTTACGAGCCAGTTAAAGTAGTCATTCTTCCTTGCTATTTAAGAAAACATGTTTCCTTTTTCTTTTTTAAATATTTTTGTTTGTTTTTCATGTATTTTTTTTTAGTATATTTGAATTTGTCTTGCTTAACACTTAAATTAGGTTTGAATACGACTTTTCTTGTCTTTGATTTTAGCATTTCGTTAAGCATTTGAAATGAGCAAAAGTAGCCATTCACTGTTTCTTAATAATATATTACGCATTTAAATATAATTTTAGCAATTGATAAATATATAGCTTGTTCGTCGAAAGTATCTCGTGAATACTCGTACGCATTGCTTCGAAATTATTTAACATTTGGACTTAATTTTAAGCTTACCAACTAATTCTCAATAAGATAAATTAAAGGTTCCTTAGAGCATTTTTAATGTGATTTATATGTTTTGTGGTTTTTATATTTCCCAGGGTTAGTCAGGGGAAATAATTGCTTTTAGGTTTTATTGTGTACGTTCAATTTTTTGGTTTGAATTTCTCTTACACGTTATTGTTGGTTTTTCACTTCTTACTTACCACTTTTTGCATTTGTTTATAAAGAATTAGTTTGTGCCTATGCACATCAATTGACTAGCTTGTTGAGAGTGTGTTGGGGTGTGTTTGGTTGTATTAGTGTCGGTGTTATTCATTGCGCTTGGTTGATAGGAAAAACATAACAACGCCAAACAATAAGCAAGAAGCCAAAAAATGCCAGGTCGTAAAATAAAAAGGTTCTAATTAAACTAGTTTAATTTGGGCATCTTTTCTTTTACTTGTCATTAGGATCTAATAACCTGATTTCTGAATTTCGCTAAAAACTTGGTCCTCATTAGTCACTCAAATCAACAATACATTATTGGATGCACTCTCGTAGTCGGTCGTCTAAAACCATATCCAAAATGAAATCTAGTTCCTTGCGCTGTTTTCATGTTTCTGTTGATTCGTTAAAAAGATTCTCTTCAGCAAAACTCTTTCCACAAATTCAGTTTTCTTGGGTAAAACTCGAAAACTCTTGGGTTTGACACCATCAAGTGATATGCGTTGTTTTGTAGCCTTCACAACAACTGTTGATGAAATGTTTAATTTGTTTTCTTCCCTGGATTTTCCTGGGTATACCAAAAATTCTACTCTTAGTATGCAATTTGACACATTTTGAGAGACGCCTCAATATATAATTGATATATACATATAATATATAATTTTTTGATTTGTTTTACTAATTGAATATATCACGGTCTTGCTAAATATCATCGTATGTATATATATGTATCTGTATCTATCTGTATATATGTATGCATGTAAATATCTATAAAGTTTTCGCCACTTGAGTTGCTCGGGAGAACTTGATTCAAAGTCTATCCTAACCCAACTACTGTTCCAATTTCTAAAACGCCATTCATTCCGAATCGAAATCCAAAAGGTTCCCTAGGCCTGGTTTCCTTGTCGATTACATAGTATAAGTTTGTTAGGTAATTTGGTTTACGAATACTGACACTTGAATGCTGAAACACAGTTGATCTTATTGTCATATGATGTATGTGTGTATGATGTAGGTATTATGTACGTAGTTAATGCTAATGTCTTGCTAATGGGGGACTTCTGGGATCTTGACTTGGGGTACAACTGTGACAGATGATATGAGGTTGTCTCTGCATAATCTTGAAGATTGCCGTTGTGTATATAGGGGATGTTACTCAATTGACTACTGTACATGTTTCATCATGCGTTTTGTTTCATAAATGTGTGTACATAACTATTTTATAGGAATAAATAACTAGGTTTTTCTAAATATCTTGTATTTCAATAGGTTGGTTGTAAACCTACAAGTCAAACGAAATGATAAGCTCCAATTCGCAGTGTGTAATGTTGGTATTATATTACAGCAAGTTCTTCATGTAGTTTTTGGGCTGATAAATAATGATTGAAAATCGACTATATATTTTTGCACAGAATATAAAACTCTTAATGACGCTATACCACACGAAAACAAGTCAAAAATACAGATTCTATTTGTAAAATGTATGGATGTTTGGGGGCTGGCTGATAAGTATTTACTGTTTCCGTTCCCGAAAAGAAAATATTACTTCCGAAAATGAGTTTTTGTTAGATTTTCGAATTTGGATTATCCTTGGATCCCTTGTCTTTCGTATTCTTACTAAAATTACTTATCAACCAGCCCTCCATATTGAGCAATTTAGTTATTCTATTAATATTGGTATTCAAAAAATAGATATATGTATATGTATATATTTATAGAGAGAGCGCTATTTTAAGTATGTTCGATCTGGTAACTATATATCAAAATTAGCAAGCTACTACTTTGGGTATATATCTTTGGTACGAGTATGGAAAACAAAACATTTCATTGGATATAAGAGACATATTGATGGTATATCAAACTCAGACTTTTGCAACTGTTACAAGTACAAATAACTAAGTAATCGGTCGACTTTTTGTCGCTCTGACTAAATGTTGAAGCATACGGAAAAGGAACCAAAAATCGAAAAGTAATTTTCGAAGTATTATAATAAACTTAGGCAACTATGAGAGCATTTTTTGACTTCTTGCTAATATAAATAAATGGAAAATGCAGATTTCAAATATAAATATTTTTATTTGGTTTCATTAAAAATTAGGTCAATAGAACAAAAAGTGTGTATATGGTAAAAAGGAATTTGTCGCATTGTTCTTCTTGGATTGGCAGGGTAAAATCAATCTTATGCTAAAAGCAATTGTTCTGAGATCGAGATCTGACAGAGGAGCTCAATAAATTATAAATTTTAATATTGATAAGTAAATGGCACCATAGCATGTGTGTGGAATGTGTTAGAGTCTTAAGCGTTAACAATAAATAAATAAATTAGTTTCTGCAAATGGAGATAATGGGACTCGAGCCTCGAATTCGGCCCAGCAAATGTGAAATGAATTTGGTTAATATGCAAAATCTTTGGTATACGAAACGATATTACATCATACTCACCCCTCGAGGCGAAAAGCTACAGGAATTAGAAAACAATTCTCCACAATCGCACAATCGTTAACTTTTTGGTACTGGCAAATGCATCGAAATGTAACAAGTTCTACACATGGGTGAGAGGAGCAGATAAGTAGAGAGAGAGAGACAGCACAGCACAACAACAGATACAAGAGTGTGGTTTACGAGGTAAATCAAATCAAATAATACGGTATGTGGTCAAATATTTACAATCAAATTAATCAAATCATAAGAAAACACAAATTGTTGCTCAACTCATGGCAAAGTTGTTTGTTGTTTTGTTCGTTGGTTTTTATTAAACACAAAAATTACTTCAAATCTTTCATTGTTTTCCATATAATGTGTGTATGTGTGTAATGTATATAACTAAGTATTTACATACGCAAAATATTACTTTCCAAATGATAACTAGTAATTAAAATTAAACTTTAAACATGCAAGCGATTCAAATGAGACAAATACATAACTATCCAGGAACTTCTGCTCCGGATTTCTTCTTAACTCGATTTCTTTCTTGGTTTCAATGGGTGAAGTATTCGTCGAATGCAAAATCAAATGCAAATGCTACAGATAAGGGTAATTACAAAATAATATTAAGAACTAAGGTTGTGCCATTTAAAACAATAAGCTACAGTAAAGTAATGTTACCTGGTTCATGAGTTGCTTGGATGGTTATGCAAATGAAATACGAATTGGAAAGGAGGGGTTCAAAGTCTAAAGGATTAGTAGTGCCCTAAGGACTCGTTCTCACTTGAATGTCTTAAGAACTATAAAAGAAGCCGCTAGTCTAGAGAACTTTCTGTCGGTCGAAACTAATATAATAATATGCAATGCCAAAATATTCAACAATGTTTTAATGTTACTTGCTACAAATGGTTGAGATTGGGTGGAGACTAAACTAGTTCTAAGACTAAATCAAATAAGAGTCGCACACACAAAACACAACAAAAATTTGGTTGTTCGTTGTGGTATTGTATTGTTATATTATTAAGTACAAAGAACAGAGTTAGGGAGATAGAAGATGGGAGTAAGGGGAAGAGGGAGTTTATGTGTACGTTGGTGAGTTGGTGATGTTCGTTGGTGATTGGTTAACTCTGTTGTTGTAATCTATGCTGGGTGAATTAAATTCGAACTCAACTAAACCTCTAAAATAATAGTTTCATTTCGGGTTTCATCGCTTTAGTTGGTTAGCTTGGTTTAAACATTAATTAATAACTCTTTGTCTTGAGCAAAATGTTTTCGTTTGCAGTTTCATTCGATTAATTAATACTGCCCTTGCAGGAGTTTCTCATCAATTTCAGTTTGAGTTTAGGGCTCCGAAAAAATAAGGAATTCTTCAATTTTTAATCAATGAGCGCCATTAAACGAGCGTGAGTTGTAACTTATAAGATTCAATCCTTGCTCTTGCTTTTCATAAATATGTATTTATATATATATATTTACTTTTATTTATGTTTATTTTAATTTAGGTTTAGGTTTAATGGTTTTCTTTTATGCACTAAAAATTATATATTAACGGCTACATTTAAACGCAATCACAATCGGTGGTTTTTAATGTGTTTTCCTTCTTTTGCTTCTCTATCGCTCCGTAATTTTTGCTTTTTGGTTTTGAATTTTGTTTTTCCTTGATTTCGCTTTGCTTTGCTTCCTTTTTTTTTGTTTTTTGCTTATATTGCTTATGATTTTTTATATGTATATATATTAGTTAGTATTTATTGAACTCGCCCCCGAGGGCTCCTTAAATATAATACTTAATTTGCCTTCCGTGTTGCGGACTACTAACTAAGCCAAACTCAAAGGAAAACCAACTTGGTCATATGAGAGTGTTTCGGTGTGTTTCTATGAATATTTATGGATGGGGGCCATGTGTGGATTTTGTATGGATCTACAACTAAGGGGGTGGTGTATGTATGGTGAGTGTTTCATTCAAATTACCAAACAAAACCCACGTCTTAGACGTACATGCCCATGCCGTACATGGTGCTCCAGTCGACGCCCTGGAAGCTGGACATGTCCACGTTGGCCAGCGCGTAGTTTTGGTAGGCAGCCGCCGGATTGGCAGCAGCGGCGGCGGCGGCAGCAGCGGCATTCAGGGGATTGCCGGCCATCAAGCCAGCCTGCTGGGCGGCCGCCGCAAGGCTGTGGGCTCCGGCGGCACCGGCTCCATTCGCTGCATTGGCCGCCAAAGCGGCAGCCGCTGCTGCCGAGTGCGCCTGCGAGGCGGAATTCGAGACGGCGTTGTGGTGGCTCTGCTGCTGCTGCTGGGCGGCGGCCACATGGGCATTGTGGGTCTGCTGCTGGTGGTGATGCTGCTGCTGTTGCTGCTGCTGGTGATTGTGGGCAGCGGCGGCCATGCTCTGCGCCTGATGGGCCTGCATCAGGGCAGCGTTGGCAGTGGCGGCGCTGGCGGGGATCGAGTAGGGTGCATACCTATTAGGGGGGATAATATATTAGTTACGTTTTTAAAAAAGTATCTATAGTAACTAACCTAACGCTGTGCAGCGCCGTCTGCGGATATGTAGTCAACAGCTTGCCGAAGCCCGCCTGATTGGCCATCGAGGCTGCTGCGGCGGCGTTTTGTACTTGAAAGGGATTCTGTGATATGAGCGCGGCCTGCTGGGCGGCGGCCGCGGCTGCAGGGGATTGCAGCAGCTGTGTGGGATTCTGGAGCATGGCCAGCGGGTTCATGGTGGCCACACCAGCGCCGCGGGCTCCAATCAGTTGGCCAGGAGCCGTGGGCAGCTGTACGCCCAGGGTGCCCAGCATTATGCGCTTCTGGAGGAGCTGGGCTGCCGGGGTGACCGCCTCCTTGGGCTGGGCCTTCTTGCACTCGACCTTCTTGTTCTTGATGGTGTGGAAGTGGATCTCGCAGACGCGATCGACCACATCCTCGTTCTCGAAGGTGACGAAGCCGAAGCCGCGGTGGCGCTTCGTCTGCTGGTCCATCAGCATGACCGTCTCCTCGACGGGCCCAAATTGGCTGAAGTAGGCCTTGACCTCCTCGGCGGAGGTGTCCTGCGAGACGCCGCCCACGAAGATCTTCTTGGTCTTGTTGGCCTGGCGGGGTCGGTTCTTTGGGGTGGCGTGCTTGGGATCGATCTTCTTGCCGTCGAGCGTGTGAATGGGCACCTTGAGCACCTTCTCCACGGTGCAGGGTTCTTGGAATGTGATGAAACCGAAGCCGCGACTACGCTGCAGGTTTTCAATTTTTGTGGTGGGTGGGGAAGAAAAACAAATAGACACAGATACATTAGTTTGGAGAAACCACGTTCAGTTAAACAGAGCTTCGGTTAGAGGCGACTAAGTCTAAGTTGCAAATGTTGTAGTTATATAACTAGGATTAATAATCGTAAAATGTCCTACGGAACGTTAGCAAAAGTCCAACAAAGTAAGAATCAATCAAGTCGATCGGAACTCGATCTTCCACAAGTATATAAAAATTATATATAAAGATATATGTAAACACAGATACGGATACAGTTTATATGCATGTATGTAGATGGCTTTATCGACTGAATTGGGCATGGCCGTTTTACGCTTTTGCTCATCAAATTTGCATTGTTTTTTTTAATCTTTTATTTCGTGGAGTAAACACAAACAAGTTTTAATTCAAGTCCAAAGAACACAAAATATGTTTCAACTAAAAACTAAAATTCTTCTAAGGATACTTTTGCTTTGTTAACAGAATACCAATATTTATACGCAAGTAGATCGATCGTTATATGGTCATTTGCTAAACTGCAACATACATATATCATAGAAACATTACGAAATATATGCATTCAACGTGTTCTCCATACTGATGCGGCGCCCCTCTAGATCCCGGATATATGTAGGTACAGGAGGCATAGATATATACACGAAAACTGGAGGATACCAAAAACATTCGTTCACTCTGCCGTGAAAGCGAACTCAACTCAAGGATACAAATGTAGGTGGCAATTACATATGGTGTGTGTGATAGTAGGGTTTTAAAATGTAGAAAAGTTGGTACAGTGCGATTCAGAACTAAAACCATTTAAAATACTAATTTTAAATGAAAGTGATGTCAAGTTTCTAAATTTAAATTTTGTTAATTTCCAAATTAATAGTTCTAAATCGCACTGTGTTAAGGTAGGAGTATTAGAAAAAGTGGGAATGCTCTAGATATGTGTTCTAAAAATGATCTAAAGCATTTTAAGTCGTTGCTTCTTTTTCTTGCAATTAAAGTTTAACCCCGTTTTGCCATACAATTTGTTTTCATTGGTTAGTTTTGCTTAACAATTACTTAATAGTTTTTACAAAGAATGAGCATCGAATGTGTGATTTTTTGTTGCTTAGTCTAATTAATTATTCTCGTACCGGTTACGTATATTACAATAATGGGGGGATACATATTTTTCTTAAGCCTAGGGCAAAGTAGAGTCAAATGACTCAGATACAATTTATTGTACATAATTCCAGAGAGAAATAGAGAGAAACTATACGACTACCTACCTAAAGAGATAAAATATATAATTTCTAGTTTATTATTTAACCCTCGGGTAAATTCCGTTTACAAGACGAGCTTTATTTAAGGGCGGGGATTTGTGGGGTAACACAACTAGCTACATACATATACGGGGCCTAGGATATATCCTATGATTTTCGATTTATGAAATTATGCCGAATTTTGGGTGATCTATTTACTAAGCATATTGGGTTTCTTCCAATTGAAGTGGTGGTGTTACAAACGGGGGTCTCAAGAACGAAAAATCAGCGACGCAACACAAATTAGAATATATGATTTACTTTATCGGTTGGTTAATTTCAATGATTCGATATGCCAAATAAAATTAAAAAGCATTAACTAAACACATACAAACAAAATGGCGGATAATGGTTATTTATAAGAATGTCTACCGTTTTACGGGGTCTTGTAATATGGTAATAGGTTGTAATATTGGGTACATTATGCTAAACTAAGGTTCTTATTTATGTTACACAATCAATTCAACAGTTGCCAAGACGATTTTCGATTCCATCTTACTCTAAAGTGGGAGCATGGCCATTGGGTAGTATTATTGGGTTAAAGCACGCCTCTTTAAAGTATAGTTTGAATTGAGTTCTAGGTTTAAGATATGGTGGGTAAGATATGAAAGATAAACTCGTTAGTTTGATTTGCTTTCGAGGCTTGCTTGAAATCAATGCGTGGATTTATATTTTTGTTGATTACTTTTTTGTTTTGGGTGAGAAACGCTAAAGTAAACCAAGTACACAATACGGAGTACGAGTACGATTAGGAGAGTACAAGAACGAGTACATTCAATTAGAGATACGATTACAATTATGCAGTTATTATTATTGCTCAGAGTTATACGATATACGAGAGTTACGATGCGCCAGTACTGAGTAATTCAAGTACGCTAAGCGTTCTCTTTTTTGTTTATACAGTAGTTAAAGTACTTGGCGATTGCTTTTTGTGGGTTTTTTGTATAAAATGTACCTAAGCTGGTTCGTCATCCTGTGGTTGGTTCGGGCATCGTGGTTATGGTTACCTGGGCCCCAGGTATTCGCTGATATTCTCTGGTTCCTTTAGTGGCTTCCGGCCTTGTCCTTGTTGACTCGAGATTCCTCACTTTTGGTTGTGGTTTTATGTTTATTAAAATTATGTTATGTTTAGTAGTTCATACATTTGGTTTTCTACATCATATCGACTAGCTATTCAATTGACTGATCTTAGGTGCTTATGGACTACAGTAAATTCCCCGCGATCATCGCAAGGATCGTCTTCCTGAGCAAAGACAGTTGGTAAACCAGTTTTCTTCGCCCTTTGTTTGTTTCTTGTTTTTTTGTGTACTCTTTTTTTTCCTCGCTTCAAAGAGGGGGGAATGGAACAAAAGGTGTTTTCTGTGTGTGTGTGTATATCTTTCGGGGTCTACTCGAGGGGACAGGGAAAGGGACGGGGACAGAGAGACAGGACACAACCCCCGTTAGTCGATCGCGGCGAATATAACTGCCCTATCATGCAGCCGTAGCAGTCGTAGCAGTCCGACTCATTCCGTAATTGCGCAATTGGCTCGCAAACAACCCCAGGTGTACGTGTACGTATAGAATTTGTCCTGTGCCGAATCCTACTCTCTATATCGAACCCGAACCCGAAGCCGAACCCTAGCTATGCGGAGGTCGCAGGAACAGCTGCGCCGGAGGAACAGGACTCGCAGGAACAATGCAGCAAAGGCAGCTGCTGTTTTATGGCCCGAAAGCAGCGCGCGCGCTCTTTTTCGTTGGGGAGCCACATTGTATATAATCGAAGGGAAATATATGTGCATGTGGCGACTAAATGCATGTAGGATGCGTGGATAATGTCCGCTTATCAAGCGGACAAATTGCTCAGAGCATTAAGCATTTCTAAAAAGTCAATTTCCGCTGCAATAACTCTGCTCTTTCGAGGGAAACCTCCGCCTATCGCCAGATATCGGTAATGTTCGAATAATTTGTCAACATACCTTTGACGTTTCTTAGAAGGAAACAAGGTAATACCAAAGGTAATTTCTAAAATGCATCTGTTTACTTTTAATCAAATAAAAACCTATAAATCAAAGAGAAACCTAAACTAGGTGGGATTAAAAATAAAATAAATATTTTTGGGAACCTGTGAAATTATAATGAATGAATTAAATGAGGAAACTCGGTGGCCAGCATGATACAACCTGGACAAGGTGGGATTAAAAATTACTACGTAATATTTTTAGAAACCTCAAAATAAGAAAAAAAAAATAATTATAATTACTTTATTAAACCTATCGCTCTTTAAACCAAAAGGTTCTTAAAAAACTCGGTGGCCAGCATGTTTATAAGAAAATTGATACAACCTGAACACGGTGGGATTAAAAATTACTATGTAATATTTTTAGAAACCTCAAAATAATAAAAAAAATAATGATAATTACTTTATTAAATTTCTCCCTCTTTAAACCAAAAGATACTAACGAAAACTCGGTGGCCAGCATGTTTATAAGAAAATTGATACACCCTGCATACAAATTATGACAAGGAAATTGCTCCTTAAGTTCGTGTCCCAATAAACAGTTCCGAGTGGATCAACCCCGACAAGCTGATCTACATATAAAACCTGATTAAATTAAATTCGGGTTCGGTGCTCCTCTCGCCCTCTTCCAACTCCACTTCTTCCTACTTTGATTCTTTTGTTTTTGGCACGTAACGCCGAAAGAACTGTAATTCTAAACCTCGGCTGGAGGGCTGGTAGAAAAGGTAGAGGATGCAAAGAGGGCGACAGAACCTGCAGTTTTGCAGCTGTGCAAAAGGTAAATCACAAAATGGTAGCTGTAAACCCGAAAGGCGGGGGGATTATGCGGATAGGTAGTACATCATCATCATCTTATACGACATAGAGATATTATAATAGTGGAAATAGAGGATATTTCGGCTTACCTGGGTGACGGGATCCTTCATGATGAGCACATCGGTGACGGTGCCGAACATGTTGAAGTATTCCTTGAGTTTGTCGGACGACGTCTGCCAGCTGAGACCGCCGACGAAGAGTTTGCCGGGTGCCGGATCGGAGCCACTGCCTCCGCTCAAGCTGGGTGTCGATCTTCCGGAGGAGCCGCTCTTGTTGCTGCCCCCCATGGCCGGTTGTCCCGCTCCTCCGGCGGAGGCGTTTACATTCTCCTTCAGCAGAGCCAGTGCTGCCTGTTGGGCCTGCTCCTGTTTGGGCTGTTGATCCTGTCCAGCAGAGACTACCACTGAATTTTGGGACTGCACTGCCTGCTGTTGTGATTGCTGCTGCTGCTGGGCGGCACTCTTCAGAACAGCCGCCGTGGTCAATCCACCGCCGATGGCGGCCACACCATTGTTGGCTATCGAAGCCACCAGAGCCTGGTGCAAATCCCTGTTGTGATGCGGATCTATGAGGCCCGCTGCTGCGGCGGCGGCGGCTGCTGCCGCGTTCTCCATGGGATTGCTGCGTGCGTAAAAGAAGGTATCAGCGGTGAGCAGGTGATCCTCCCCGGAAGTGGGTGGCGGCGGCTGCTGGTGGTGCAGCATGGTGGCGCCCTCCTGAAGCGCGTGCATTTCCTGCTTTATCTGAATTTTGAAGGCCTTTTCGTCTGACAGTTGGTCAAAATGGATATGAGGTATTTTTGTTTTTTAGCTGTTTTCCTTTGGGTTTTAAGTTTTTTTTTGGGGTTTTTAGTTTTTTTTCTATAACTTGTATGGTTTCCAAAAAAAAGTAGACTTCTTCCTGGTTTTTTTTCGACTGCCTTTCGGTTTCTTTTTTTCGCCACTTGCTTTGACTACGCTTCCCTTTTTTTCGGCTCTACTTTGTTGTTGCCAATGGCAATGAATTTGCGTTTTTTTTCTTGGGTTGTTTAACAAGCTTGCGAATTAATGCAAAGGGCCAAAGCCATAAATAAGTGCCTAAACGATTTCGGAAATGTTCTAACTGCACGACACTGAATTTATCCTGTATTTATTCTGTTTCGGCCTCGGTTTTTTTTTGGTAAGCGGTTGCGACTGCGCAGTTTGAAAAATGAAATTCGAATGTTGCTACGTCCGCTGCTTTAGCGCTGCCTTCCCTCTGCCTCTGCCGGCGTCGGACGTCAGGATTTCAGAAGCAGCGTGCGCAAGGAGGGGAAAAATACCAGATGACAGCTGACTTGTCAGCTGAAAAGTATTTTTTGTTCGTGCACCAACGCGCCACCTATTAAAGTCTGTTAGGTGACAGCGATAACTAATACGCCATCTATAGCAACTATGTTATGCCGTCTAACCCTTTTTTGTAACTCCTTTCAAAGGATGCCTAAACTAGAAAGGATCATTTTCTGAGAGGATTTTTTATTTCATTTCATAAACCTACCCCTTTAAAATGTTCTGTGTAATAGTCCCAAAAAGAGAGTGCGTGGGAGAGCGAAGAAGAAAGGTGACAATAAAGAAGAGAGTGCAAAGCGATGTTGAGAACGATTCCATCCACTTGAGATATGTAGAGATAAACACAATTTTGGATGATTTACTATAGGAAAGTGAAACTATAAATGCCTTTAGTGCTTAATGACTGACACTTTATTGATTGCATTCTGATTATAAACAATTAGCACCTAATTTGTCTCAGACTACTATATCAAGCCCTAACTGCGAAAATATTATAAGCGTTATTTGATCAATTAGGCAAACTATTACTTATAATTTAACTTTAAACTTTAATTTATCGGGGTTAGGGCTCAAGAAGTATTATTTTAAGAAAATTTAAAATCGATTCCCGTAACGGTGGTTTACGGTATTTGCGAATAAGGCTCAATATAGTTGTCTGCAAGGGTATTTAAATCTTTGAAATCCCATGCAAGACTATTATTTGCGCTTTATTCCACAGGCAGTACCGATCATTGTAATTTCGGCCATCGCATTTGGTGTCGAAGTGATATTCTGGATAAAGATTGCTCTGTCCAGGCACGATGTCGCTTACACTGCCAACTCAGCCGCGTGTGATAATCTCGAGACCCGAAATAGTTATTTCTACCCAGCGAAATACCTAAAGGTGAGTCCTGATTTTAATTATATCAGGGATCGCAAGTAAGAGTTACTTTTAAAAAAAATTGACAAATAAGTTTTATTTTTCAATTTTTATTATAAAAGTTGACAAATAACTCTTATGCTTCAATTTTTATTATAAAAATCAACAAATAAGAGTTATTTGTCAACTTTTATAATAAAATTGAAAATAAAGATTGAATTGATATAACTCTTGAACTGTACGGTACATTGGTTTAAAATTTATATATATATAATCTACGCTTTAATACCTTTCTGTTGATATGCCATATGTCCCCAAAATATTTTTTATAATAATAATATTTGTTACATCATAAACAAGAAAGGAAGCTACCTTCGGCCAGCCGAAGCTTATATACCCTTGCAGATAAAGTAATACTCACTCGGTGCAGTTCCAGGGATTCCAGATTCAGTTTCTATTTTTGAATTTTGTTTTTAAGTAGTCAAGAATTAAAACGCCTACTTCCTACAAAGTAACAATGAATTTTCTTATATATGTTTGAATATTCCTATGGAGCCTTAAGATATAGTGGTCCGATCCGGCTGGCTCCGACATATGTACTACCTGCAATAGAAAGAAGACTTTCGGGAAAGTTTCATCGCGATAGCTTTAAAACTGAGAGACTAGTTCGCATAGAAACGGACAGACGGACAGACGGACATGGCTAGATAGACTCGGCTATTGGTGCTGATCAAGAATATATATACTTTATGTGGTCGGAAACGTCTCCTTCACTGCGTTGCAAACATTTGACTGAAATTATAATACCCTCTACAAGGGTATAAAAATATTTTGGGGACATATGTCATATCAACAGAAAGGTTTAAAGCGTAGATTATATATATTTAAATTTTAAACCAATGTACCCCACAGTTTAAGAGTTATTTCAATTCAATCTTTATTTTATTATAAAAGTTGACAAATAACTCTTATTTGTTGATTTTTATAATACAAATTGAAGCATAAGAGTTATTTGTCAACTTTTATAATAAAAATTGAAGCATAAGACTTATTTGTCAACTTTTATAATAGAAATTGAAAAATAAAACTTATTTGTCAATTTTTTTAAAAAAGTAACTCTTGCGATCCCTGAATTATATCCAGGGAAACTTCTAAGCAACCCTCCTTCCCACAGTTTTTGAAATATAATCAACGGTGCGAAGTTCCAAGCGGTTTAATTCTAGCCAAGCAAGGGGACACAGCAGGACCATCATGTAAGTTACTTCCATAATTTCAAAATGATAAGCCATTCCATTTAAAGATAACTTGACATTTTAAAACTATTTTGTACAATTTTAAAGAGATATAGGATCTTGAAATTGGTCTTGGATGATTTCGGTGGCGTTGCAAATTTTAAAATGTTTATCTTACTTCTTTCCTTTTTTTACAGTTAACAGTTACAAGAAGCGAAAACAGCCCTATAGGAAAATGGCAGGTCCTGCTGCCGTGAGTGCAGCTGCCTTGTCCTCTCGTGCTTAGAGGACTAGCAATGTTAAAATGAGGCTTACATCGTAGGACAAGGCGTACTACTATATATATGACCATGCTCTGTCTTCCACAGTTGAGTCGGAGCAGGATGAAAAAAAAATAATATGAAAATGGATTAAAGGTCGGAACACTTCACATTAGCCGGACTTCATCGCGATTGCTTGGTATGGATTCGAGGGTTCGGATCGACTAAGCTCAGCCCGAGGCCTCCAATCTATATGTAAAGCAATTGCAACTGCAATCAGCTGACCGGAAGGAAATTGAAACCTAACGAAAACCTGTTTATAAAAAGTTCAGGGTAGGAAACCCCAAAAACGAAATGGAATTGAATGCTTTCCCCATTCAAACTCTGGGTATTAGTCCTCTTAATATATCATTTTACAATCCAATTATAACTTTCCATTTCTTAGAAGAACTGAAGAAGAAACATCACAGAAATTGTGTACCTAAATTAAAAATAAAAAGGACAAGAAATTATAAAAAAATTCAGCCTTTTCTTTTCTATTACTTTTAAAATAAAATTGTTAACTTTTTTCTGTCTTCGATGTCGATCTCAAACAAAGCAATTTCATTCCACAGGTCCTTCCCATTTTGGTTATATCAGTGGTTAGTTTGTTCTTCAAGATTGCCGTCATGGTCAGACTGGGCCTAGTCAAGGATGATGTCTGGTATACCAAGGATTCAGCGAATTATGAGTATTTTGAGACTCGTCAAGGTCCTTGGTATAAAGCGAGGAGTCGCAAGGTCAGTATCAATCGATTACTGAGTATTGTCCTTTTGCCATTGACTCTTAATTCCATATTTATAAATCTTATAACCATTTCTAAAGTTTGGTGGTCGAGATGACTATGAAATGCCACCCGGGGCGATCTTAGCCAGACAAGGCGACGTCAATGGCCCGTCATGTAAGTTATGCCTCAAAATAACCAAATAAATTATATAAAAGAACCTCATGTCTATAATAAATAACATAAAAAGACAAAGACCTCATTTAAATTTAATTAACTGAAAACATATCAAATCGTTATGCTACTCTGTTTATATCCTCTTTTAAATATTCTCTGGTAAATCTTAATTTTAAATGACGTAAACATTTTCAGCGCTTCCCAGAAAATCTTCTTGAAGACACTTTTAATTAAACTTAAAACTGATATATTATTTTATTCGGTTGGAGTGTTTTATTATCCGTTTTTGTCACCTTGCCAATTTCGAAGTCTGGGATGCGTTGAAAATTTTCACGATCATCGTGGATAGCCCCAAATAATGTAAATGAAAATTTTCCATGCATTCCAGTTTCGGGAGGCGGTGACAAGAAAAGTGATGACGGTCCGAGCATTAAATCGGTTGCAGGACATGCACTTGTTACTGGTGCAGCCTTGGGTTTGGCAGCAATGATTTAGAAAGTTTTAAAACGGAGCAGATTATATACAAATCATAGGACGAGGCTCTCTCTTACTTCCATTTTAAAGACTCACATATATTTACTTGATTGCGACCTGTATCCAACAGTTGAGAAGGACGACAAAAAAAAAAAGTAAACTTTGCCTGGATGGGAGATGGTCAGGCTAGCATAGAAGCTACGTATTTCATAGACCTGACCATAAGGCTACCATCCATTCGCCTGACTCTAAGGTTCAGGATCCGCTGAGAACGATTCCCCAATATATGCTGATGAAAGAGTTTTTATACATGGTATGAGTATGACTTTATATGTGCAATCGAATTCAATTGATTTTATTTCTTCCTCAGGAATACTTTCCATCTTTCTACTGAGACTTCCGAGTGCAAAACGAAATTTTCAAGTGGGCAACAAGAGTGTCATACTTTGCTAATAAATAATTCTATGTGAAAAAATATACTAATGAATATTTACACAAAAATATATATAAAATATAAGCCATATTGCTTTAATTTAATTTTTTGAGTGTAGCCACACTATTTAATTTGCAGCGACATCTACCGTATACCAAGCAAATGCAGGAGTGGCGCCGTACAGCGGAATGTATTTGAATGTATGTAAAAAAGGTCCTTGATATAAAATATTTTAGGGCTGTGTAGAATTCAAATAGGGGGCGTGTCTCGCCCTAAAATATATACAGTCTAACTTCCATAACTCGAACTACCATCTGCTGTTTATTTAAGTTAAATATCCTTATTTATAAATTTGGAAAAGTGTTAAGTATATTAAGGAGAAATATTAAGTTCATAAAGTAAGATATAGTATTGACACTAAGAAAGCCCTCTAGGCTTGCAATGATATATGGATGGGAGCCCGACGACAAACGGTTGTAACCAAGTAAAACAAAATAAATAACTCGCTTAAATATGAATATGTTTTGATAATGCCCCTAGCAAATTGCTGTACCTTTTGTGTGGACATCCCCTGCACATCCTTCCTTCCTTCCATCCACATATAAGCTCATTTTCCAGGGCGCCTGCGCCGTGCACAAAATCCAAAAAGGAGTAGAGTTTGGTCGAAAAGAAAAAATCCCTAAATAAAAAAAATTGGTCGCTGCTTGGGACAATTTTCAGTCTTAAATTGGGACCACACTTCTTTTTTTTGTGTGCCTAATGGAACGCATGTGTGTGTGGGCAAAAACAAATCGTGGCTGCGTTATGTGCGTTATTGATTTTTGGCCCAGGAAATGGGATATAATGCCAAAGGATATGAAATTTATTAAAATAGATTGCGAAATAATTCAATGAAGATGTTGAAAAGCAAGCTTCGATGGCAGAGGGCGTTGGTGGGGGCGGTATTTTCGGGTGGGGTTTCCACCGCACGTGTGTGGCTGTGTGGTTTTTCCTCCATCGGTTGTTGAACTTTCCGAAGCGACGACGTCGTCGTCTGCAGGATTTTTTGCCGTGTGAAAGACGTCTGTCAATTTTATGGCTACTGACCCAGAAAAATGGAATGCTAAATAAGCCCTTTGATGGTAAGAGGGGGTCACGAATAAAGCAAGGATTTGCTGAAAGTTGTATGGGAAGAAAAACCCCCAAAAACGTGGATGGCGATGACATCAGCAGTCGTCACCGCGATATGTAATTCGATTAGGCGCACTTAACGTCCGCCCTTCATATAGAAACCCCTACTGCTCTCATCCTACGCCACGCATTTTAATTGCGTCAAATAAACAGCGGGGAAGGTGCTTGGTCACGAGCCATCATCCAACTTTTTATGGCCTCCCCTCGGACTGATGGCGTACACATTAAATTAAGCACTTAAAGGTGACTTGATATATTTGAGGACTTTGTTGAAGACATAGCACACAGGGGAAGCCAACCAGCTAGTTTGTTGGGTAAGCAAAATAAATAAGTAGGTACTTATAAAATATTATACAACGATTTTTATGAAGATATGATATGCATTTCTAGAAAATATTTATTTATATAGACAAAAAAGGAAACAATTAGGAAAATGATTGACAAGGTAGTACACAAAATAAAATGAGACCAGATAAAGAATATTATGGAGGTGATATAAGATATATTATATTTAATGCAAAAGCTACTTTTTTTATAAAGCTGAAAAATTACTTTAATATTTATTTCTTGATACAATAATTATAAAAAAGGCCCTAACACCAAAAATATCTTTTTGCAATTATAAAATGGTACATTTTGTATTATAACTATTTAATCTATCAACTTTTCAGAACAAATCCCACTTAAAGACTTCGACATATTTTATGTAGCACCTGAAATCACCAATCCATTCCCAAGCTGTCCTTTAACGACTCCCCTGCTCAAAGCAGCTTGCCGGGACAAAGTACTTTCTAATCCGCACCGGCTATCCGATGACAAACTGCAATCTGAAAATAACTCAATCCACAGAACTGTTGGTCGTCTGAGTGTTTTCCCCGGGGCTAAAAATTGCAATGCAATTTACCGAATCCGTTGCCAGAAACAACAATAACAATAGGGGGGAACAGCACAAAAAACATGAGAAGACGAAAAACAAATTGCTCGGCTTTGCTCTCCAAAAGCCTCCATTTCGCAATTTCCCACTCTTTCACCTACCGTTTTGTTCCGTTTGCCCTGCATTTTCCCACCCAACCGAAGTGCATAAAATTTATGTAGACTTAAAATTGCAGTTGAGTTGAAAACCCAAAAGAGAGAGAGCGGGGTATTTTCATTGAGAAAAATGCCACAAAATACAAAATGCGATGGACGGCAACTCTTTTTTGGGGGCTAAAAGCATATGGCGCAACTTTATTGTTTTTACATTTGATTTTTCCAAAGCGAAGGTGGGAGTAGCACTTGCACTGGGCAAAGTGCAGAGGGCCCCTTCGGAAAACGCCGCATAAACTTTGGCTCTGGGAAAAGTCTATATATCATATATGTGCGATTTACGGGGGGTGGCTTGGCCTGGCTGTCGTTTTTGAGAACTGGAAGGCAGCGAAGCTGACTGGAAGTAACCACCCTCGAAAATGAAGCGCCGGCCCGACGTACACCGAGCAAAAATCTGCTCTAGAAAAACGCATTTCCACCGGCGCGGGACATAAATCCCGCTGTGAGAGAAAGAGTGAGAGAGCGGGCGAGAAAGAGATGGCTGGAAGAGCAACCCCCTGAAATCGGGGGAGATATTTTGCAATTGGAATGCGCGCGCAACCCTCGAAAGCCGACGAAAATCGAGACGATGGTGGCCGCTACCCTGGGCTGCCTTTCAGTCAACTTTGGGTTTCCGTACGTGCAATTTCTCCCGGACCGAAGACGGATCACACGGACCTCGAAAGCGGGCCAGAAACTAACCCAAATCCCTTTTGGATAGCCCCCACCTACATATAGCACCCCTTAAATGGCCACCAATGTGTTTTTAGCTAGTGTCTAACGATTAAAAGTGCTTCAAAATATGAATTTACCCAAATGGAAGCTCGAAAAAAGGATTTATCCGCCATATATACGAAATCGGACGCTTGCCATTGATATTGTCCTGTCACAGCAGTATTGTAACACTATATTATAGCTTACTGCTGGGTCGGGGCATTAACATTGTTGAGCGTCATTAGCAACGAGAGGCGGCGGCGGCAAGGAAAACCCCGAGGAAAACGCACCAAGCTTTATTTTCCGGCTTGTCAGTCGCACACTGCGACTGTGTGTGTATATGAGCAACCGGAAAAATCAATTTTCCATTTTTAATTCAAAGCTCACACAGCGCACAGGACACTCGCACACACACGCACACAACGCACGTGCATGTATACAGCTATATACATATATATTTATTTGTATATATGTGTGTGTGTGTATCGGGCCAAAAAGGGATAAGCAGGATGCTGCAAGCTCTGCAGGGCGAGCGAGAGGCAGGGAGAGCGAGAGAAAGGGACAGCGTCATCCAAAAAGAGAGAGCAAAGAGAGAGATTCAGCATATAGGGATAAATCCCATTTTGTATAGACAAAAGCTGGGAAAATTAATCAAAATCAGTTTAGGAAAATTGAGCAAAATTATAGTTATTAGATTAAAAAGTAGTAAAATCGTTTAGGCAACTAAAATTCTCAACTCCTTACAAAGATTTCACAAATAGAAGGCCGAAAAAAGAGGCAGCGACCACTCCCTGATTTTTCTCACTTTTCGTGGGAGTCTCTGGGTGGGCTTAAGAAAGGCATTAAGGGGGATGCAGAGGCGTACCCTTGTTTTTTTTGTTGCACGGAAAATTGTTGCCAACCCGAAAAGCCGGAAAAGTTCCGGGAAATGCCCGAAAGTTGCACCACAATCAGATGCAGAGCATCATCATCATCGTTAACAACCCCTAAATATAATCCCAATGCATTATCTGGGCAAGAGGGGCCTGCATAGGAATACCAAATAACAAAAAAAAATCCAAAAAGATGACAAAGAAAGATGATGAATTGGGATATTGAGGGCAGCAGCAGCAGCAGGGACAGCTGAAAAATGGCATTTAAATGCAGTTCAAAAAAGGACTCGGGTGGGGAGAACCTGAGAGTTGCTCGCTAAGGGTTGCTCTCCCTCTTGCTCTCCCAAAAATCTCACGTTTCTGCAGTTTGATGACGATGATAATAATGGCCTAGCTATAGGATTAGTCCACATAGCAGGCGGAGGGGGGGACTCGAAATTTGCCGGCCTGCCATGCACATGCTGTTGCTATTTCGTCAGCAAGGATCAAAGCCTTTTTGGGCGTTTCTCGGCAGCTGCGGCTGTGTGTGTGTGTATGCGTGTGCATCTCTGTGTCCTGTGTGTACTTTGCCTAAATACTTCGAAATTGGCCAAGCGTTTGTTGTGCCCATCAAATTGACAACGCTTAGCTTTGCTTGAGGTAGCCAAATTGTTTCTACATTCGAAGAGGGTGTGCTGCATTTATCCTCGGCATCCTTGTGCCATGATTAAGGATTAAGGGTGGCTTATATGCTGCATTTGAATATGCACCGGCGGAAGTGAAGTGGTCTCTGTTTGAAATGAAAATGTCGCAGTTGACATCCCAGCAATGAGTTGGAATACTTAATTCGAAGAGGATTACTCATCTGCATTTCGTCACATTTCATAGAGATTTCTTTAATACTAAAAAGTTTCTTGAATTTTATGTCTTAAAATCGCTTTAAAAATGTTTTTACTTTAATTATAAATTGATTTTTTAAAACTCTTTTGAATTTACACTAAAATTTTAATAATGACGATTTTGAAAACAAAATAAAGATAAATATTTTTAAATTTGTAAGTTGTTACTTATTGAAAATTGTTTAATTCCCAATAGTAATCTTGAATGAAAATAGCATTTAAAATATTGTATCAAAAAAGTAATCATTTAATGAAGGACAATGACATTTTCAACACCTAAATAAACATGTCAAAAAGTTGATGGCCATAAACATGTTCTATGTCGACTAGCAACCTATATTTGAAAGACCCACCATTAACCCTTTTGAATGATTAATTGCCACAACAAATAAAAAAAACAGGGACAAGTCTCTGGCACAACAAAATGAACGGAAGCTGGTGATAAAAAGTGCGGAAATTACGTTGACCTAAAAATAAAATTGCCAACCAAGTTTGCCGGCATTGCCACCTAGACACACACACATAGAAAAGGGAAAGAGAGAGAGGGAAAAGGATACACAGAGAGAGACAGCAGGACACGCACTTGCACTCATGCACTTCAAATATGATGAAAAGGTAAACGCTCAACTCTCACAAACACACAAACGACATCAAGGGACCCGACGTAAATGGCAGAGGATTTGACAAGGATAAGGAGGATATATATATGTGGACAAGAGTCCTTTCGAGGCTGGCTGTGCATGTAAATGCGTGGAAGAGCTGGAGGGTTAAGGTAAGTGGTTCCCCGTAACCACCGACGACTAGTCCTTCCTTACCACCCACACCCACAGCCAAATGCAAATTGTCGGTGCTTTTGTGAGCTTATTAAGTGCTTGAAAGTGCATTACAAAAAATACACACATGTATACAGAGCCACAGGGGAGGGGGCGGCCTGCAGGGGGGTGGTTGGAATGGGGGATCAAGGACCTGCAGCCGGAAAAATGCTTTCAAGTCAACCCACTCGGAAATGAGAACCCGGCGACTGCTGCTCCCTTTTCTCGCTCTCTTACACGGAATGACAGCATCGAAATGAGCAGTTACACAGCGAGAAAGTTCTACACCAAAAAAATTTGCTTGGTAAAATTGACCAACAAAGATAGTTACGTAACTATTAAAATAGTTACGTGTATTTTGTTTTTGCTTTGGGTTTGTGTCTTTGTAATTGTGTTATTTTGTTGTTGTGAAATGACTATTTACTTAGTAGAATTGACAATTTTGCTGGTTGGGGCCTGTTTGACAATTATTACAGTTGATTTTACCAAGTTTTTTTTTTGTGTGTAGTAACCGATCTAAAAAATGTTTCTTTGAAACTTATATTTTATTTTGAAATAAACAATAGATTGGACTATTTAAAAGTTTGTTTAAATTTTGCTGGGAGGATCGTTGCATAATCGCTATCGCTGTCTGTCATATTATTAAACTTTATAAAAATCCTACACAAGTATAATTTTTTAAAATTATGTAAATTTTTTCTAAACGCTTTTTAAATTTTTTAATGTAACAGGCGAAACAATGCCAAACACCAAACCTTTGCTCAAAACACATGTATTGCTTACAAAAGCTGTCCTGCGTTTGGTGTAATTTTGCTAATTAAAAGGTGTGACTAAAGTGGGGCCAGCGCCCCGTTAAAAGTCTCAAATTACCGAAAGCATCCTTCAACAAGTATGTGGCAAGGACAGTTGGCCAGGAGTTGCAGACCACAACCCAGATTCTTGCTCATTTGCATACAATATCGTCATCGCAGGTGAAAGCTAAGAACGGAAGTCCTTCACGCTCGGAGGAGCAAGGGTGAAGGAGCCTCTGAAGATGCCACTTGAGGTTGTCAGACAAGCCAGACATCGCCGGCAAGTGGCCACTTTGGCGTCTGAAGGACTCTGTAGAGCAGGAAATTTCTCTCGGCTTTCTGTCCTTTGAGCAAAATTACCAAACAGGATGCTTGTAAAGAGAAGCAGATAGCCAAGAACGGCATCAGAAAATCTTAAGCGGATTTCTGGCAATTGACATAATTACAACTAAAACTTCAATTAAACATTTCGTTGGAAATAAGGACTTTCAACTAAAATATCTTTTGCCTCTACGCAAGTTCTAGACAAAACAAAAATTCCACAATTAAATGTTTTCTAGCTATATTTTTGAATTCATAATTTTGTATTCGTATTTCTTTTAACTGAGTGAATATGAACCACCTAATCCAAGAATCCAAGGATTATCCAAAATCCTAAAAGCTCCTATAAAAGCACGCATCCTTTCAAGTAAAAAGCTTTTTCATGGAGCTTTTTCCTAATGTGGAAACGAGCCTCCGGTGGGTTAACTTTCCATCCAGGACATTGTGAAGCTTTTATAAAAGCTTTAAATAAAGCTTTGGTATCCGTTAACGGATATAGGATAAAAAGGATACATTTTAACAGTGTTTTAACAGAGTACCTCTGCTATTTTAACATAAGCTATATTTATAATTAACAAAAATAACAAATCGGATATGGTCTTCTTACTTGTGTTTTTAAGGAAATACTTCTGGCTTTCGGCAAGCAATTCTTAAACAAATCAAGCTTTTAACAATATTATAATTTAAAGTTAAAAAATCCTTTGAAAGGTGCTATCAATGCATGGCCTTAAAAATTAATTAAAACTCTTGATCATGGAAATTAATTGAAATCTTTGTAAAAATAAAAAATGTTCAATTAAAAACGGAAAAGTTTTCACTAAGCTAAGAAGAGCTACCATAGTTCACGTTCTAATAAAAATTTTGAAGAGATGCTTCTTCCTTTGGCAGTCATCAAATTTGATGTCAACAATCTCACTCAGCCTTAACTGATGTAACAAATTCGTTTATGCCGCTCATTGTTTACCCACAACAGCAACAACGCCACAAAGGGCACAAACGCACATATATGGGCCTTAGTATAAGGAATATAAGGCTAAGTCAGCAGCTTTGAGAAGACGCATCCTGCTTATGCTCGCAGGATGCAGTGCGACAAGTGCCACTTGAGAAAATGCTTCTTTTTTAGGGTTGAGGGCTGAGGAATGAAGGGTCGTCTGGTAAATGCTGACACCAAAGACCGGCTCAAGTATTTTGCGGGCAAATAGTCCAGAGGACGGGACACTACGGTCCCCATCCACACATCCTCCAAACCAGTCTGAATATCCTCGTAATAAAAGTCACTCGAGTGACATTTTTGAGCTTGCGGCCATAAAGTAAAAGGCAAACAAAGCTCAGACTGCCGGAGTTCCTTTTGCCAGTCGCTGTTTTTAATCGATTATTGTCGCGTTATTGTTTTTTATTCATCCCCCCTACCCCAGCTCTATTATGGCAAACAAATCCTGTCTGAGTGTCGTAGCATTGCAACAACAATGGGGATGCTGGCGCAAAAAATGCAAATGCAGAAATCCAAGCACAAAAGATTGTACATTGAACTTGTGCCGTATCACCATCTCATCGCAGCGGAGGAGGAGAGGAAGTGATTTCGCGGGGGGGCGAATTGAAATGTCCCCGCATGTCCTGTTCGCAGGTTCCGTGACATCATATTCAATATACCCCGTACATAATCCCGATAAGAGCGGGCTCTAAGATATGGTTACCTTTCGTTTATCTTTCCCGGCTGCCTGAGGGTTCGCTTTTTTATTCTACCCTACAACACGCTTTTCTCGTTGTTTTCGTCACGTTTTGCGATCGGCGATAAACCCAAAGGAAAACAGCAGGTCCTTCGTCGTCGTCGTACCTCATTTCTCCAAGCAAGAAATGCACGCGCCGGATGTCGTTAAAATGGCGACCGCCACTTCCGGTGGGCGGAATTCGCGGAAATATGTGAACTTACCTGCAAAGTAAACAAAAACAAATGTGCAAAATTTCGATTAGTATGTTTTTGCCGCAGGCTTAAGAATATTTTATATGTGTGTGAAACAAGGCAATTGCGAGATTGAGATACTTAGTGTATGGAATATTAAATTAAATTGGTAACTTTTAATATTTATAAAAAAAGTCTAAAAAGTATTTAAACAATTTAAATAAAAAATTTTAAGGAAAAGGAAAATATTTCTCTGAAATTGCCTGAAAATAATACGTTTAAATAAACTGACAGATGTCCCGCATCGAAAATTCAGAAAATCTGACAATAAAGACTCCCCAAAGAGAAAGTATAATCAAACCGCGAAATTTTCAGTCAGCTTTATATGGTTGGGGTTTCAGTTAAGCTTCAAAAGCTCGAAAGAAAAGTTGTAAGGAAGGTAAAGAAATTAACACTTAAAGAGGGATATTAAAAATGGGAAAAATATGTAAATATATTAAACACTTTGTGGAACCTAAACTTAAACGTTTACTTTTAAAACTGTTTTTTTTAAATAACTGAGTTCATATTTATTTAATTTAAAAAAAATTTAACAAGTCTTTTAACCCGTATATTGACCTATCCCAAAAAAGATTTAGCTCCCATCATCATCGTGTGCTAAATGGTAAGAAACTTGGTCACTGGCACAGATTCCTCTCGTGGTTCCCCCTTCCGCATCCCCTTAACTCACTGCCAGAACTTTTGTTGACCCAACAGATTAGCGGCTAATGGGAGAGCACTCTCCCAGTAATTCCCGCCAACTCAGGCATTAACAATTACCTCTTGTTAAGAAGAAATCAATGAAGATGAGAGTGAGAAAAAGTGTGAGGTTCTGCATATTAATAAGCCGAAACATAAAATTGGACAAATATGAAGGTAAGTGCTGCGACTTTCGTTAAGTTCGGTTCAGTTTTAAATCCCCGCTCGTTGAGGACAGAACAGATATTCGAGCTATGGGAAATGCTGTGCATTTTGTGGTCGTTTTGCAGGCAGGTGACTATCATCATCACCATCATCATCACAAATTGTTGGTGCATTAGTAATGTACACAGTGAAAAAATATGAGAAAAATACCAAAGAAAACCATTGAAAGATCCGAAAGATATTAAGTTTTAAATGTAAGGATTTTAACATCCAAATGCCAAAATTATAATACATTTTTTGGTATAAAAGACGGAAAAAATTGTATGGGTTGAACCCTTAAAAAGTACACTAAATCCATTTTTTTTCCTGTGTGCCTTTACTCATTTGCCGAATGGTCTAGTTGCACAGTTTCGAGCCTAATGCACTTTCATTTCGTTGACACCAGTTTGTTTGTGGCTCGCTGCAGCAAAGCTGAAAGCGTCTGATTATAGGGCTGGTTCTGAGGACTATAATGCCGCTGCAGACAGCAATCAATTGCAGGAGGAGGAGGTGGGAATGGCGAAGACGTATCCGAATCCGAAACCGAGACCCGCAGTGCAAGTAAAAGTGACAAATGAAGTGGAAAGTGCACTCAGAATGGGAACAATGACGATGATGCGGATGAGAAATCGGGGCGGTGAGCGGCGGGGGCAGCAGACGAACTACTTTGACACACAAATGCCACTGCTGTCGTCTGGCCTAATGAGTCCCGGCTTGCTGCCAATATTGAATGAGCACGAGAAGGAGGAGCAGCAGCAGCAGAAGGGCCATAACTTGGGGCCCAGTTCGGTTGAACAGCAATTACTCCGCCTGCAGCCGGACTACAAATTGCTGTACAATGCCGAGCACCACACCTATTTCCACCTGCACACCCGGCGCATCCCGGAGGACATCGACATGGCAGGACCGCGACCATCGAAATCCGAGGAACCACCGCATCGCCGGCTATTCCAGCAGGTCGTGGGCAACACACTGACCGCCGCCTTTGGCCTAAACGCGATGAACAAGGGGCAGGTGGAAATGGGGGAGGGGCAGGCGGAGGTCACCAGCGAACAGGTGAATCTCTACGATGCCGCCTCGCTGCGTCGGTCGCGCTTCAGTCCCTTCAATCCCACGCGGTGAGTGCTGTGACACGACTATTATCTACGATTTTTGAGTGCCACTTTGAAAACCATTTTAGGTTTGCGAAAGCCTCACGGTGATAGGCCATTTTCAAGAGATTTAAAGGCAAAAAGAAACGAGTTTAAGCGAGATAACGACATAAATTAAGATTAGATTAAAGGTAGAAAAGAGATATTGATATTGTATCGATATTTTCAGCAAAGGTATCGATAATATTGAAATAATTGATATTTTTGGATATTTAAAATTTCGATATTTCAAACGTAACGAAATCTTCGATACGATAATGAGCTTGATTTTTTGTTAATATATCATCAAGGACTTTTCCTCCCGATGTACATCCCTAGATTACATTCACTCTATAAATAATAAAATGAATCGCAGAAATTTAATGACTAAGTTAAATTAGAATCTATACAAAATATTTATTATTTAATTTAATATTTTTATGTTAATATTCTCATTATAAATATTTCGCTTTTAAATTCAAATATATTATTTTTCAGAATCCTCATTCATGGATGGCTGGGCAATGCCAATGCCAATATGTACAGTGCCCTGCTCCCGGCCTATTTGGATCTTAGGAATGGCAACTACAACATCTTCACCGTCGACTGGGGACGCGGCGCCATAGCCGACTATATAACGGCCAGCTATCGGGTGAAGCCGGTGGGCAAGGTTCTGGCCAAGTTCGTGGACTTTCTGCACCAGGAGGCGGGACTGCGCTTCGAGGATCTGCAGCTGGTGGGCTTCAGCATGGGAGCCCATGTGGCGGGGCTGGCGGGGAAGCATCTGCGGACCGGTCGCCTCCGGATGATCCGGGCTTTGGATCCAGCTCTGCCCTTCTTTCGCTACGCCAAGGAAAAAGAGCGTCTGACCGCCGAGGATGCCGACTATGTGGAGGTATTGCACACCAGCGTGGGCAGCTACGGATTCGATCGACCTCTGGGTCATGCGGACTTCTATGCCAATTGGGGCAGCCAGCAGCCTGGCTGTTTTTGGCATGAATGCAGCCATTGGAGGGCTTTTATGCTGTTTGCCGAAAGTCTCTCAGGGGATCGGAGTAATTCGGAAGGCGGTTTCTTAGCACAGGGCTGTCCGGCCGGTGAATGGCAGCAGTTGACCCGATTCCATCGCTGCCCAAAGGATACGGGAATTATACCACAGACCATGGGCGGTGATTTGGCCAAAGCTAGTGCGGATTTCCTGGCCCAAAGACAGGGTGTCTATTATTTCCTGACAAACGACCAGCCACCCTATGCTTTAGCACAAAATGCCAGCCGTATAAATAAAGAGCGAAATGGCTGAGAGAACGTAATGAGCAAAATGCAAGTGCAGTTCGCGTTTTTATTTCTAATTAGTAAGTGCATGTGTACTACACACACGTGTCGGTTTGTTTGTTTGTGTTGTCCCATTTCTAAAAGCCGGCTGGCAAAATTAAAAAATGCTGCCATGTGTAAAATGCTTTTCATGCCAGTCGCAGGCAGTAAAAATAGCAAAAAAAAAAAGAAGGAAAATAGGGAGTCAAATTTATGAAAACATCCATGCAGGAAATATAAGGACGAGCACACAAGAGCCGTGGGTAGTTCAGTCTGGAAAATCAACTAGAAATTGGTATGACCAAAAAAAAAACGGAACAAAAACTAATCCTCTTTAACGAGACAACACAGAGGAAAAATTATTCAACAAAGTTTCCAGTGCAGGCTTAAATTTTATACATTCTATTTGGTTTTTAATTTTTGTGTTGAGAAAGCTTACACTTTAATTAGAGATACCTTTAATTGAGTAAAGATGAATTTGTATTCTTTAAAATTTAATTTTAGAAATAGTCGAAATTACTTTGTTGAATTAAATTTTAAACAAGAAAGGAAGCTAGCTTCGGCCAGCCGAAGCTTATATACCTTGCAGATCATTCCTATTAATTAACAAATCGCAAAAATGTTCAATTTTCTAATATTTCTCATTAATTTTCCGATCGTTCCTATGGCAGCTATATGATATAGTCGTCCGATTTTGATCAAATTAAAATTGAAATTCGGAAATATTTAAAAAGAGTTATATCCTAGAGTAGAAGATAATACAATAAAAACCAAAGAAGCTAGAATTTGTTTCCTATTACTTTTCCATTAATTTTCCGATCGTTCCTATGGCAGCTATATGATATAGTAGTCCGATTTTTTAAATAATTAATTCGAAACTCAGAAATATTTAAAAAATAACATCCCCAAAAGTAGAAGGTAATATTTCAAAAACACCGAAGCTAGAATTTTTAAAGCTTTTTCTTCCGATCCTTCCTATGGGAGCTATAAGATATAGTTGTCCGATCCGGTCGGCTCCGACATATATACTACCTGCAATAGAAAGAAGACTTTTGCGAAGTTTCGTCCCGATAGCTCAAAACTGAGAGACTAGTTTGCGTAGAAACAGACAGACGGACAGACGGACAGACGGACAGACGGACAGACAGACAGACGGACAGACGGACAGACGGACATGGCTAGATCGACTCGTCTTGTGATGCTGATCAAGAATATATATACTTTATGGGGTCGGAGACGTCTCCTTCACTGCGTTGCAAACTTCTGACTGAAATCATAATACCCTCTGCAAGGGTATAAAAATATTTATTATATTGTTTATTTATTTAAGAATAAACGAATTCTTGATTTTGTCAGTGAATAAATAAATATGTTTCGTATAGAATAGACAACTTTTAGACTTAAGTTAGGATAAAACAGAAACTTTATTGTGAGTCCCATTAAAATTTCAGGCTGCATGGTGGTATCATAAATTCCAAAACTTGGCAAGTCAAGGTTTAATTGGCCAGGGCAGCAACACACTCCACCGGAAGATATAGTACACTTTGGGGTATTAGGACCTTGGATCTGGAGACCAAAATGTCGCACGGCTGCCGCTAATGTGATTTTTACGCACCATTTGAGTGAACAGCCAGCAATTCATTCGCCAAAGGGCACTACAACGATGAAAACTTGGCAGCTGCGGATGGATGCCATAGAAAATAACGTGAACAAATATTGGCAAAAGAAACACAAATATTGCGCACAACATTCTGTTGAGTTAATTTAAAAGAAAGGAATCACAAGGACATTTATTCAGACGATTTTTGTATTAACTCAAGTCTATTTGAATTCATTTATCCAAGAAATTGCATAAGAAATGTGTTCGCAGCCTAATATTCTGTTTTTTTTACGTTCCGTTGACTAAGAAATAGCTATGAAAATATTTAAATAAATTTGTTGAAGTTTAGCTTCAAAGTCATTTAAATGTATGTGAAAACTTTGATGTATTTTTAAGGAGTTTTCTTTACAAGTCAGTTTGTTTAATGGTATTCCGGAAAAAGTTCACTTTTCTTTTCACTTGATAGATAAATGTTTTTAAATATTATATTTTTGATTGAGGTGATAATTTTTCCTTACCACAAAATGGTTTCTAAATAATTCATTTTGCACAGAACTCAGATTAGTTTTAACTTGGTTATGTTTGCACTGAATTAAATATTTTCCCTTCACTGGCTGCCCAAACAGAATTTGCAATCATTCGTTTAAGCTTTATCACTGGCAGCAGCAATAATTGAATCAGCTTGAGACAAGCCGAGAGAAATTCACTTCGAGACTCGGGAATTAAACTTTTTTCCTTGGTTAACTGGTCTGATTATTTCCTTACGGCCAGACAAAAGAATCGAGTGGAAAACGAATCGAATAAAAGCCGTCGACTGTTGCCAGTTGTGCACTGCAAAGCAAACTGAAAATGTTCTCAGCCAAATGGAAAGACTGCAAAAAAAAAAGAATGCAGAAAAGATGGCTAATTTGTGTCGCGTCTTCCAGCGAAGGGTTGAGAATCGGGGGAGGGTTGGTGGGTGGCGGAGAAGTGGCTTTGGATGGCGGTGGTTGGAGGTTACTCTGGGAAGCCTATGAAATGTGCCCCGCACTTGAGCCAAAGAGTTGACGCACAAGCTGCAGCAACACCGAGCTGAAAACCCGAACGGCAAACTGAGCTGAGCCCTCAGACAATGCATTCCTAATTCCTGCCAGGGGGTGGGAAATTGACAGGAGATGGGGGTGGTAAGTCCCCCCACCAGAATACACAAAAAAAAATTTAAATAGTTTATAATATTTATTAAATAGTATATATGAATTTATGTTATCTTTATAACGCTGATAACTTTATAAATTAATATTTTTAAAATAAAGAATGGTTTTAAATGATGATCCAAGATCGCGTGATTTAAAACCTAAAATGTTTCCTGTGCAGAAAGAGTTTTGTGCTCGACTGCCTGTTCTTTTTTGGACTGGCAGCACATCAAACCGAACTGAATGCAAGTAAGTCCCTGGGAAGCAGTCATAAAGTGTCGCGTTCCGTGCTTCCGTTCCGGTTACATCTTTCCGCCCACTTCCCGCTTCCTACCGCCCACTTCCCACCTGTGAGCTGTCCTGTTACCTGTCTCCCATCCTTAAACCCCCATCCCTTAACCCGCCATGGCTTCCGGCACACGCACCCAAACGGACGGATAAGTTTGCCAGCTGTTTGTCTCCGGCTGAAAGCGCATATTACTTTGGCCACAAGCCGCTCTTCTTGCAGTAATAAGCACCCGGATTAGCTGAGCTATTCATCTGCACATCTCAAGGGAGGACCAGGAGCTCTGGTTCCTGGGAATCTGACGTAACCGAAACAAGTGTATTGACACAAAGCTGCTCCTGTAGCACTAGGGAAATCTTGAGTTTAAGTCTGTAATACACATAAGTCTAAGGCCAATACAATCCGTTAAAAAATAATAATTAAACTTTCTTACCTAAAATCAGGTTCAATTAAATTTAAATTAATATCTTTAATGGACTAATTGCTTGACTTTCCCTTACTTCTTTCTTGTTTTTACTTATGCCTTAAACTAAACTAATAAAACAGCTTTGTATAATTGTAATACGTTAATAAGGATTTTATGTTTCTAAGGGCTTTACCTTCCTTTAAATCCTTTTATTCAGTTTTTTTTAAGATTTTAGTTTCGAACCCAAGGAATTAAAGTATCAAGAGCATTTCATGTTCTTTGTAGGTCGTAATTTAACTCAGAATTAAGTGCACAAAATCTGGCGCTGAAACTAAAGGGGAACCTCTGGCTCTCTGAATGGAGGCCAACCGATGTTTGACAAGATTGTGGCAAAAAAGAAAAACCCCGTTTCGCTTCCCATGTGGGTGTGAAAAGATGCCCGACAACAGCCACAGCAGGTGGCCTTGAGAGGTGGAAAATGGGTGGGTGGGGCTCTGTTGTCAGCACCCACACACAGTTGGAGGTCCTCGGTTAGGTGACCAACGGAACGTTTATTTAATTGAAAGGTCAGTCTGCAGGATACAGTTGCCTAAACCGTTTTGGAAAGGGTAAGAAGAGCCACAAAAGTGAATGGGAACAAAAGGTTGATTAAAGGGAAAATGAAGACTACAATGGAGAGTGGGGGAAGGATTAGTTGCTAGAATGGATTTCAATGGAAGTGGAGATAGTTGAACGGATATTGCCAGCAAGATGACAAAATAAGCAAAAATAATGTTATCCAGCTAGAGGCAAGAAAATACCTTTAAACAAAGCACTCGCACTATTTGCTATTTATAGTTCTTTATAGAATTTAATAAAGATACTCTTACGAAGAGAATTTCTTAGCCCTTGTGATTTTGTTATATTTTCCACGAAATTGTTTCTTCAAGGTGTTTTATTATGCAAGCATTAATCTTAGATAAATGTTATTTAAATAGTTTGATAAACCGGGAAAAATATTAAAGGATTTATTATGCCATAAGAAATATTTCATAAAATCAAATAATAGTTCGTTTGTAATGAATTCATGAAAAGAGCCAGCCAGCGCAAAAAAACTCAAACCACTTCGCGCACAAGTTGAGGTAACTATCAAATCAAACTAGCAGGTAACAATTACATCATTTCGCAGACAATAACGAATGGAACAAGGACTTTTGGGTTTTCGAGGGGGCAGGACGCTGCACTTATATCCCAAACTCACTCAAACAATTAGCTCAAAAGGTGAGGTTGAGGTGGGGTGGTGGGGGCTTTGTGACTCACAGCGCGTCGTCGTCAACTGAAGCCCTATGAAAAAGTTTCAGTTTTTGCGCAAACAAATTGGATTATTCGATTACGTGTTTGTACAAGCGCATTGTGGAGGTTTTTGGGTAGGGGGTTGTTGGTTGGGGGACCGAGGTGAGGAAAACCAGGTGAGTTGGGGGGTGAGGTTGGATTGTAAAGCGGCCAAGGGAACAAGTTTTTAAGGGCACCTCTGGGGTTTGGTTTCTTTTTCATAGGGGCTGCAGTTTTCTCTTGTTTGATTTTGATTTATTTGGCATTTGTTTGCCAATTGGCAAATGTTTGCAAATCTATAGAGAGCGGGAACGTAATCTATTATGGATTGACTTCCTCTTCATTCGATGGAAAATCGGAAATTCGCA